ACTACTTGAAGTTTGTGCTGATGATGGCGTTCAGAACGATGAAAGCTCGATGACCAAACAGCCAAGTTCAGGGAACAAATCTTTATCAGCATACAGTGACTTTTAATCTTCGCTCAGACAAATAGTAGTAGTTGTAGTATTAACTGTTATATGAAGCATATGGCTTCAATTTGATTATGTGCATGTGATTATGCAACTTCCTCACACGAAAAAAATTATTTCAGAAGTACATTAAATTGATTTATGGTCGGTTCAGAACACTACTTTTAAAATTAAATGATCATATTATTCTTATCATAGTGTAAAAATCGCACAATAAATACATTTTCTTTTTGTTATCATTCATTTATAGGTGATTTTTCAACTAATTTCCCTGACAGACAGTTTACTGCAAACGTTTATGTTGAAAATCGAAGTGGCTTTCGTTCTCATCCACTTAAAGATTATGAGAAAAATATGCCTATGAAACGAAATGAAGAATCTACAATTAAAAGAAGACTAAATGACAAACAAGAACTGATGTATACGCATAACAATCCAGGATTACATTTTGTTATCAGCATACATGAAACACTACAAATTTTGACATTTACGTTATTTGGCTTATTGGCTGGTGCAAGTTTAGCGCATACACTATTCGTACAATCATTAATTAGTCCAAGACAAATTAAAAATGATGGTTCTTGGAATTACAATTACGGAGATGGTTATTTACCATTATTAAAATATTATGGAGTTTATGCACGTCCAATCTCTATTACATTTTATATATCATTAGTTTTGATAGGTGTTTTTGTATTCGGAAAATTCGATTTAGGAAGGCCAACAACAAATTGTATTCGGAAATGTGTTAAACTTCAGGTGGTTACTGATATATATATATATATATATATATATATATATATATATATATATATATATATATATATATAATGTTGTTATTGAACATATTTGTTTACAAAATATGGTTCTATTCGTACCGATAGTCATTCAGTTACTAGTCCTTATATTATTCTGATTATAGGATTAGGGGTTTTATTTTACTTACTATAGTTTGTCTTGTCAGTTAGTTCGCCTGAAGAAAATGAGATTGACAATTTTTCAATGTACTGACTATACAATCCAGCCAATTAATCCAATTAAATTAACAGTCATGAAAACTGCTGACCAGAAAAAAATCGTGCTTTAAATTGATTAATTACCATCCACTAAGTATCAGTAAAGATTTATGTGAGACCTGTTTTAGAAAACATTATAATTGACGATTCAATTACCGACTGTAGTGAATTTTTTTAACTGGTCAACATGGCACACACCACTATTTCTCAGTGAAAATTATTAGTAGTACTGAAATCGTCCAGTACCAACAATACATTACATCAACATAGCTGAGACTCACTGTGTTACATTTGTTCAGCCAAGATGAAAGGTAGGATTGAGTTTTGATTGAGATCATGAGTCGACCACTGTTAAACCCATCGAGAACCTGGAAGTAATGGACGGCCTAAACAGTGCGCATCCACGACCCTGCAGCTCAAAGGTCTTGAGGTTAAGCGTCCGCGCGCACAACCGAAGTCTCTGAGTTCGAATCCCACGTGCGGGACCGTGAATGCGCACTGCTAAGTAGCCTCACACTAGGACGAGACGGCCGTTCAGTGCTTCTAGTTTTTCGACGGTGGTCTAACATTGATCGATGCATGACACCAGCCAAAAGATATAAGGAAAGAACTTTTCCTAAAGACACTGGTAATAAAATAATTAGATCATTATCTTTTGTAGTTTATAAAATGATACATACTCTATTTTAGTTAATGCTATAACCTATTAAACTTATTTTACAAAAGCATAAGGCAGGGGGATTTAGCGTTTCACAATCTCTTGGTCGCCTAAATCGGTATTTGTATTACTATACTTTCTTCGGTGTTATCTTCGTCATGTTCAGCAACTATTACTAATGATATTTTTGAAAATCCTTCTGCTTAGGTAATAATTCTAGTTTCATGATCGCCTTTAGTTGTTAACTAATTCACTTACCGTCCCCCGAAACCTCTGTTAAATATGTCGTTGTATAACGTTAATCAATTAACTGCAAGATTTATTACAGAAAACAGTACTGTATTTATCGATTAATGAGCATCGTTAAAAAAACTTCATATTCTCGTCACGTACATGAAATTCGGTAGTCACTGAGTAACAAAACATTTAAATTTTGAGTCATAGGATTTTGGGCACGAACTTCACCCCGTTTACCTTGGTTTATGTAGTCAGATTATATAAATAAATCTTACAAAAATGTGTGGTACTGATCCTGCACACAATTAAATTAAAAATTATTACGCAGTTCGGTTCACAATTTAGCTTTGATTATTGATAACTAAACGAAGTTAATAATTAGGTGTTAACCAACTCAAATGACAATTATCATTATTTTATTGTGTATTAGTCAAAATTTAATAGCCATTATCCAATACGAATTGTAAGCATTGTATGATACTTGATTAATTTGTAGGTTGATAATAGTTAATCACTTCAAAATAAGAAGCAGAAGAAACTCATTTGTAGATCCAACCTTTTTCTCAAAATTTATCATTTTCTCTTCTTTTTTATTAGAATGGACTAATGGCTATCATATTTTATATGATCGCTTTCGTAATACACAATTCGATGGGTTGGTTTGATTATATATTTCATGTGAATAGTTATAAATCTGAAGATGAAATAAGATACCTATTGAGTACACAAATTGATTTAAATAATTTTCTTAAAATATGGCAAATACTTGATGCTTGTCGTACTGCATTTATATTAATAACATGGATATCAGTTGCACTGGGTGATTCAATTCATGACAGGTTAACTACAACGTTGAATATTAATCCTATGAAAATCGGAGATGGTAGTGGAAACAATATCCAGCCGAATTAAACATCACTAAAAATATACAAATGACATTTGTAATCCCTCTTCTTCATAGCTCCTAAAGAGAATTCGTAATTTGAAAAATATACAGTGATAATTGAATGTCTATTTTTAAAGCTTCAACTATTCTCTACATAACTCTTATTCTTCAGAAACAAATTAAATTCTTAAACCCAGTCTACGATGCAGACAAATCGACTGATACACAATAAGTTGCATCATGTAATAACTGAATCTAATTAATCGCTATATATATAGAAAATTGTAGTCGCTGATAAACATTTCTATAACTAATTGATGCCATTGTAAAAGCTTTCTTTAATCGGTTAAAATGATCGACTATTTTTTCGCGGTATTTCTAAATCTTAAATATTCCTGACAAACAAGTTGCTCCAGAAAAATGTGCCTCAAAGCCAAGTACGTAAAGTTGAATTTGGTGGGTTAAATTATTAGTTTCGGAAATGCTAAAAAGGTAGGAGTATTGGGTGCTTCATACAATCAGTATGCCGAATGTAATTTCAATTGAGAATTGATCCTCTTTGGAAAGCCATTGAAGATCAGTACACACTGAACCATCATAACTGTTTTAAGCAATTTAGGACTCATCAGTAGTGAACACTGGCGACCTCACCAAGAACATCCGTTATTTAGCTGGAATCCAACAGTCCACACTTTCCCATATGTTTTGTGGGATTTTCTTTGAGATGAATGACTGTGAAGATAAAAATGTTCAGCAGTGCTATTGTTCGACATTGGACATAAATTCAATGTTTTAAAAGTCCTGCAAGATGATCAGCACTTCCGAAAAATCATCTTTTCTTGCTCCTTCCAGTTTCCTCTTCCCGAGTATTTATATATTTAACCTGTAAGCAAACAAATATTCGAACGTTCTCTCAATCCTTTTACAATTATTGTCGTCCATTATTTTATATCTCAATTTTATTCCAGACTTCTCTGATAACGTACGAATACTTGTTTTGTTTCTTGATGATTTCCACTATTTTTAAGTCGTAAGCAGTTGAGGAGGACCCGCGAAATAAATGAATCGATATTATTCTCCTAGGATCGTTGTTCTTCATTCAAAATGTAGTACGTCCAGATTTTGAAGAAACATATTTGTAGTTATAAAGTAGTCTATGGAGGAAGTCTTTACTAACTTGTGAAGTTGATGTAATTAAGCTAATTCACTTTTCTGAGAACAAACCAACCTACAAATATAGACTTAAAGGACGGGTACAGAAACTAGAAATAGTATTCCTGTATGAACCTAAGTCTGTAAATTCTGCAGGTCCAATAGTGATGGGTATGGCCTGCCAAAAACTAGTGCTTTGTATTTGTCATTAGTACTTAAAAATTAAACTGTGATGTCTCTCAGTGGATTGTCTTTGTCTAACTACATTATTCTGATAGCCACGTTTTATTGCGAATCCAATGACAGTCACGACTATACTTTTAACACATCGGAAAAAATCTATCTATATAAATAGGAATAAACAATATTTCCAACAACGCAAGGTTACCTTTTGAAATCAATACTCGTTAAAAACGAGTTCAAATGTCACAACTCCATAGAACAGCTCCTAAAGCTTCGATTTCTCACTTTTTGAATAATTAGGCATTTCGTATATTCAGAAACGATCACAAGAAGTCAAATCATATGTTATTGAAGACGAAGTTTCATAGTGGAAAAATAGAGTGAAATAGCCAAAAACTATATATTGTGTTTGTAACACTTCTTGTAGAGCTTTCGTTAATTGATTTACTCAGAGTGCTAAACCTACGTATACACTGTGCATAGAAATTGAGGATCAGTTGATAGGAAAAGTCATAACAGTATTTTATAGCAGTTTATACGATACAAATTCAAGCCAGGGTAAGCATTACATTTTCTAGTAAAAAAAATGTATGCAAATACTTTACGAAAGGAAATAAATTTAGAGATATGCAACGGGTTGATATTACAAACTACACTTTTTAAAGGAAGAGATCGCTCTATAACAATTAATACAATAAACCGATCTAAACATAATATACAAATGTGACGCCACATTATTTAATTGAAACTAGATATGTTATCTTTATTATTTTGAAGAATTCTGAGAGAATGCGAATGACGACATTCTCTTAGATACATTATTCTCAAATTCAGATAGTCTTCTCTTTGTAGTATTGGAATTACACTGAATTAAATCATCATTTTCACTTAATGGACGTTTGGTATTACTTTGTAGTACGTTTTCCTTTTCTTTTCCATCAAAAACACCGTCTTTTGAACTTTTTATAGAACGCTAATATGTAAGGAATAAAAATAAACAAACGTTAGATATATCAATAGGAATCACAGATATTTATGTACTATTTAATCATGACAGAAAAAATATACCTGTCGCCATGGAAATATTCGTGCCACAATGAAAATTTAAGGGTTTGTGACGTAGGTAGAGCAGAACTCGAACCTCCGAGATAGTGGTTGAAAGACCTAAACACTAAGCCACTGATCTATTTATTACATTAACACTTTGTTGAAATATTCTTACTGAAGTTAAGTTGATGATGTGCACCATCGATATGTATGGCAACACAATACTTTACAACTACTACGTTAGACAACCCACTTTACACCCATGTATTCGTGATATCGATTTGCCATGTCTTGGTAACTTTAAGGAATCCAACGATCACATTAACTTTTAATAATGATATCTGATAACAGCACTAGACCGATCCAACTACCAAAAAAATAGTAGGGTGATCTGATCAAATGTGTTAATTAGATCTTACTGACTGGTTAGTTCAGTAACATAATAGAAAACTAAGCGAACTAATATCGCAAAATTATGAAGTTGAAATCGGAAGGTTGCAAGTTATGTACTGGAATTTCAGAAGAAGAAAACACTGTTTTCTTAGAAGGTAGTCCATATATTTCTCTAAATACTTCATTTATTTACATATCATCTATTTACTCACGTTTCATGCACTTTCTGAATCTCATGTTTCTACCTTATTTAAACAGTGTCACAATGAACAACAAAGTGACATTCTGCATTATCTACTGACGACTCGTATTTAGCGAACGGCAATCCTACATATGGGGTGATCTTGAGTATGCAGATGATATTGTTTTATTGTGTAACGATAATTAAGCCAAGCAATCCGTGTTAAATCAGTTGGCAATCAATGTCCACAGCTATGGCAGAATCCTGTGCATCCACCAATCATTCACCTATTTTTATTCATCCGTTTTTTTATTATCAAACTCCACTTCATTTCTTCACCTCATAACAATCTAATTTTTTTTATTTATTTTGGCACCCACTGTGTTTAAATCAATAATAACCATGCGAGTATCACCCGATATTTGAAGATGATAACTGTGCGGCATTGTTATTATCATTCCTCCAGCGTTTTTTCAAATTAGTTTTCTACTGGATGGGGTCGCTAACCCCATGCCCAAACCTCTACCTTTACCCGGGCTTCGGATCGGCAGTAGCCCAGAGGGGCTCCGAGAGGAGTAGCATCAGATCATCACTTGCTGGTCGCCAAGATGAAACTGAGCCTCAAGAAGCACCGGACAATCGAGCAGAAAACAGCACAAAAGTTTAATACGACCTTTCTTCGGGTTACTGACAAACTCAACAAATTCAAGGCAGTCCTCAGTAGTAGGTTCCAGGCCTTTCATGACCAACGCAATGGAGATCAACTTGAGAGGGATACGAGGCAATCACTTCAACATGTCACGAGGTTCTGGGCCACAAGAAGCACTACCATAAGGAATGGATCACCGTTGATACACTGGATAAGATTCAACAAGGCAGCAATCAATACCAGCTGAGCAAAAGCAGAGAAAGCCAAGGCACAAGCTGAATACACAGAATTAAACAAGCAAGTGAAGAGGAGCATCAGAATCTACAAACGTAAATTATGTGGAAGATCTAGCAATGACGGTTGAAAAGGCTGAAGAGAAGGACACATGAGACAATTGCATGATACAACAAAGAAACTCGCTGGAAATTATCGTAAACCAGAAGGACCAAGGAAAACAAGGAGGGCAAAGTAATCACCAACATCCAAGAACAGCGAAACCGGTGGGTAGAACACTTCAAAGAACTCTTGAATCGATCAGCTCCACTGAACCCACCCAACATCAAAGTAGCACTCACGGACCTCCCAATCCATGTTGGCCCACCAACAATTGAAAAGATCAGCATAGCCATCAGACAAATCAAGAGCGACAAAGCAGCAGGACCAGACAACATTCCAGCAGATGCACTGAAAGCAGACGTATCAGTAACTGCAAGGATGCTCCACACTCTCTTCAGCAAGATTTGGGATGAAAACCAAGTATCAACAAACTGGAAAATAGGACACTTAATCAAGATACCAAAGAAAGGCGATCTCAGAAACAGTGATAACTACAGGGGTATCACTCTTCTCTCAATACCGGGAAAAGTCTTCAACAAAGTGTTGTTAAACAGAATGAAGGACTGCGTAGACGCCCAACGTCGAAACCAACAGGCAGGATTCCGTAAGGATTGATCGTGTACAGACCAAATCGCAACTCTACGGATCATTGTGGAACAATCAACTGAATGGAATTCATCACTCTACATCAACTTCATTGACTACAAGAAAGCATTTGACAGCGTGGACAGGACAACACTATGGAGGCTTCTTCGACACTACGGCGTGCCTCAGAAGATAGTCAATATCATACAGAACTCATATGATGGATTAAACTGCAAAATCGTGCATGGAGGACAGTTGACAGACTCGTTCGAGGTAAAGACCGGTGTCAGGCAAGGTTGCTTACTCTCACCCTTTCTCTTTCTCCTGGTGATCGACTGGATCATGAAGAAGTCAACATCTGGGGGGAAGTATGGAATACAATGGACAGCTAGGATGCAGCTGGACGATCTAGACTTCGTAGATAATCTGGTTCTTCTATCACACACGCAACAACAATTGCAGGAGAAGACCACCAGTGTAGCAGCGGTCTCAGCAGCAATTGGTCTCATTATACACAAGGGGAAAGCAAGATTCTCCGATACAACACAACACGCACCAATCGAATCACACCTAACGGAGAAGATTTGGAGGATGTAAAAACGTTTACATATCTGGGCAGCAACATTGATGAACACGGTGGGTCTGATGCAGATGTGGAGGCGCGGATCGGCAAAGCAAGATCAGTAGATTTACGACGAAAGAACATCTGGAACTCGAAGCAACTGTCAACCAACACCAAGGTCAGAATTTTCAATACAAACGTCAAGATAGTTCTACTGTATGACGCGGAAACTTGGAGAATTGCGAAAGCCATCACCCAGAAGATGCAAGTGTTTATTAACAGCTGTTTACGCAAAAATACTTGGGATCCGTTGGCCAGTAACAATCAGCAACAACCTTCTGTGAGAGAGAACAAACCAGATCTCAGCGGAGGAAGAAATCAGGAAGAAGTGCTGGAAGTGGATAGGACACACATTGAAGAAAACACCGAACTGCGTAACAAGGCAAATCTTCACATGGAATCCTCAAGGCCAAAGGATAAGAGGAAGACCAAAGAACACATTGCGTAGAGAAATGGAGACAGACATGAGAAAAATGAAAAACAATTGGTTAGAACTAGAAAGGAATGCTCAGGACAGGGTGGGTTGGAGAATGCTGGTCGGTGGTCTATGCTCCATTAGGAGTAACAGGCGTAAGTAAGTAAAGTATAGTCAAAGATGCATTTTTATAAAATGGTTGACTTGTGTCAAAGAATAGAAAGTTTATTTTACAAGCACTCCTAAGTAACTTTTAGAAAAAAAGCACAATTAAGATGAACGGATAATGATGCCTAGATTTCTGTCGTTTGGAAATTTCGTGAGTTACACGGACGATATTCAAAAAAGAATACTGAATGAAGGCATATTAAATTGAACAATGGTGGTTAGTGTTTGTGTGAATATCTTTCATTAGTACATAAGGAACATATTTTAAGATCACATTGGCACACATAAATAAAATCATGCTTTACGATAGTTATGAAAAACAAGTACAGTTAGTGAAGGTTAATCGTTCACTTACGTATTCAGACTGTCCTATGCGAACAAGCTCCTCAACTGAAACTTCTGGATAACTTTCCTCCAAAGTATCTCGATTTTCTTCAAACCAATCAGTGAATTCTTGATCAGCGCTACCAAAATATTTGAATTATATAATGAGAAACGGTTTAAAATTAAAATCTAAAATAACCATTGGAAGTCATATGAATGTGAAAAAAATACAAACTTACTCTGCTATAGCAACAGATTTCATTTTCGGTAATTTAGATCGTTGTGATGACTACAAACAATGAAAAAGATTATTCTAATACATTTTCAATCAACAAACGATGCAATTAAAGATTAAAAGCGATGTAAGAAAATTCAATGCGATTAATTTGCTAGAACATTTTTTAATGATGTTCAGTTGAAAATGATTCAGAGAACTAAGATATATATGATCTTTAGGTATAAGGAATAGATGAACTACAATCTTTCATCTAAATAACACGAGACAACAGATAGATATAACACATAATGTATCACTTTACGCTTCTAACAGAATCCTATCCTCCAACATATGGATTTATAATTATTGATTTACAAATGGGAGGTAACATGTGACAGGTATTTATTTACTATTGTTTGTATTGTTGTTGGAATCAACCTCGCAAAAGGGAATCTGATTTTTAAAGTTGACTTTATTCTTTGATCAATTTCTTCTTTTTGGGCTTTTATTCTCCCATCTACATTTGTTCATAACCTATTGAGGGGATCCATTCCTTCGCAGACAATCGTTTAGTGCAGTGTACTCCTCCTTGAGGCTTATTTGTGAATATTTTGGTCTTACTGTAGGACGTTTTCACCGACCTATATATGGTTACTTGGTTGAGATCTGCACGACTATCGTAACCAATGGTTGGAGACTCTGAGTGACATGGCTCAGAATCGATCACAATGGCGTAGGTGTATACACTCTTTGTCTTTCCTGGAACCGTGAGATTAAAATTGCTTTATACATTTCTACGAACTAATTTTTCTCTTTCTGTACTATATCCTTATACAATATTTCATTATACATAACTACCTTTGAAGTAACTACTTCTATGAATTTGGTGTTTATCTTGTTGTGCTAATGAGGTGTGGCAACTTGGACCGATGCATATATGTGCCTGGTCCTACGATGTGGCTGACTGACTGCCCTTAAGTTGTTATAAAAATATACCCGCTTTTTAAAACTAAGTTTTAAATTCACATTACAGACAATTTATCCCCTAATGACTGACAAATCATTTCCAAATTATGTTATGAATTATGAATAATTAGTCAGTCAGTCAGCAACAACGTAGAACTTCATACGCACGTACATCAGTTCGAGTTGCCATACCACATTAGCACCCAGATACAATTGTCAATTCAAATCCCGTAGTGGTAGAGGTGGTAAGAGTATAAGCAGTAATTGGGAAAACTAGGTTTTGAAGATGTTATTCAAGGAGTATAATCAAGTGAAATAAATTTGGAAAGAAAATAACAGACATGAAGAATTCAGAAGATTAGATTTTGGGAGAACACAAGGAGTGGATGCACCTATGTTTTTGCAAACGGTTTCGAGCCATATCATTCAATATCTCTAACCATCGGTTTACTATCATCTCGCGGATCCCAACCAGGTAGTCTACGCCTACCAACATGGCTCACTCCACTTGTCATTGACTTTATGGACTTGTGCCATGTTTTGGTCTGGCCGTCCCCAGCTTTGTTCCAGCCTACTTCTATACCACTGAGCATCGCACTTCGAAGAAGTCGGTGGATGGGCATACGTAACACGTGTCCCAGCCATCTCAACTGATCAAGTTTCACTACTTCATCAATTGATTTACCATCATTACCTAGTACAAGTTTCCAACAATTCAATCATGAAGCAACATTTTGCATTTCGAAGGGCAGAATCACATCCCGAACATGCTTGCATTGTTGCTTGGAGTGGTCAGAATACTCTGCATTTTGTCAGCGTCTTCACCAAATAGAACTATGTCATCGGCATATTCTAAGTCAACAAGTGAATCTCCCGGTAGAAGTTCAACCCCTGGAAATCTAGACGAGGAAAGTGTTATCTCTAAAAGTACATCGACGACAAAGTTGAACAAGAATGGAGAGAGTAGACAGTTCTGACGAACACCACTTGAGGTAATCAATTCTGATGACAGTTCGCCATAAGCTCTCACTCGACCAGTTGTGTTCGAGTAGAGAGCCTTTATAAGGTTAATGTACTTCTTTAGTACTCCTTTCAGTGACAAACACTGCCATAGAACCTTACGATCGACAGAGTCGAATTCTGCTTTAAGGTCGAGAAATACTACCATTGTGGGGCGTCTGAATGTGTGTCTGTGTTCTAGAATCTGACGTAGTGTGAATATGTGGTCTATACAACCACGTCCAGGTCGAAAACCGGCCTGGTTTTCTCTAGTCTGCTCTTCAGGAGCTTTAGTTAGGCGTCGAAGTATTATTGAAGCTAATGTTTTCGACACTGTTTGTCAAACTGATTCCTCTGTGATTGTCACAAGAGGACTTTTGTCCTTTCTTATAGACTGGCACAATCAGTGATTGAGACCAGTCAGATGGGATTACGTCCAGTTCCCAAATTCTACTCAAGACCTCAGTCAATCTCACTGCTAATACTGGACTGCCATCCCGAAAAATGTGACGGGTAAACATGTCAGGACCTACTGTTGTTGGAGGACTTGCCATTTAGGTCGAATAGATATCGTGGGAAACCGAAGTGTGGCTGAAGGCCAGCTGAACTGATCCCTAAAATGTTCTGCCCATCGATCCGGTCTTCTGGATTGTGAGTGAATAATATGTCCATCTTTCTCTGAGTGTTTCGCTAAAAGTTGGATTCCTAATACCGGTTTCCTTAACAAGTCTGCTGTTACCTAATGCCGCTGCTTTTTCCATATCTCTTGCTTTCGCTACCCACTACTGTTCACGATCATTACGTAGGCTTCATATCAACCTGCGCTTAAGCTGACTCCGCTCTTCGTCATGTTCAGAGCCAGATGCTGTTGAGACCCAGTATTTATCCCTAACCTTACGGCTTAAATTACTAGCAGATATCACTGCTTTTTTCATTGCTTTTCGGATATCATTCCATAGCTGCCTAACTTTTTCTAGTTGTTCCTGAAATGTATCCTTAGCTTGACTATCAATAGGTAGAAACCTAGAAGGTTTCCTTGCCCCGTCCAGTGGGGCGCAGAAAAATACGCGCTCGCACTAGAGCATGATCTGTATCTAGGCATGTGCTCCAAAACGAGCGACAGCCTTCTATCGAGCCCCTTCATCGGTGGCTGTTAGCCATGTTGGGTCCAGCGTTGGAAAGAATTCGGGGTCACCATGTTAAAAGATGGTTTTCCTTATGCTTAAAGCTAGTATTTGCAAGAAACAGGCGGTTGTCTGAGCATAGCTGCAACAGACGGTCGCCGTTATCTGTTCCATGAGCCACGGCATCATAAGATTCACCTATGTGTCTTTCCCTTTCGCTCAGTTTATCCATTTGAGCATTAAAGTCACCAGCCACTATTACTAGATCAGAGCGCCTAGCTTTTCGGAGAAGGTCGGAAAGCTTTCTGTAAAATTCATCTTTTACATCATCTGCACTGCAATCAGTGGGAGAATAGGCAGAGACGACGAAGAGGCAACGACGAGTGTCTCTATGTTTCCGAGTCTTTACTGTTCCGTTTAGTCGGACAGCGCACAAACGACTGTCTACTGGGATCCACTCTAAGAGAGCTAGTTCTGCCCTAGGACTCAATCTTATACCTATAGCGGCGAGGCCACGAGAAGCAGCATCTGGGCTTCCAGATACACGAAGTGTGAATCGAGTTGGTTCTTTATGTTGACATGGTGATGTCAAATGAATGACGCTACTCGGATCCTGTATGCGCGCTTCGGAGATGCAGCACACATTGATGGCGCAAGATTCTAAAGTCCTAGCTAAGGAAACCTGTTGTCCTATTTGGCGCAGTGTTCGGACGTCGAAAGCTCCTATATGTGGTTAAGAGTGTGGTTTCAGGAGACCAGGAATAACGTTCCGCGTACTCGAATCGTTTGCCCTAGCGGTGCGAGGTGATAAGAAGATGTGAGAAGGGTTAGTAGTAGAGATAAGAGTTATTAGGAGGTATAGGAAGGATCTATTTGTGACCAACTTGGTCTCGTGTGCTATGAGGTAAGGCGAAGTGTGGCATTTTATAGTCGATCTTTTCTAACCACTTCCTTCTGAGAAGGCAGCACCGCTGCCGGTGCTGGTTGTCCGAAAGAAACACTTTACTGTTATCACATCCCTCTGCAGTCAGTAGTAGACTTCGCTCTCAGACCTTGAGTTGCTGTGCTTTTTGTCTTAACATTCTCCAACCGACCTGCTTGGCATGATAGAACCTACAGGAACATATGTCCCAGCCAAAATAGCTCGGTTGGATCATCAAGATAAGCAAAAAATCCGACCACCACTTCAATGTAGCAGCTACGGTCGGGATGAATAATTACACACATTAGCTTGTATGTACTCTTATATGTATAAATTCCATCCACTAATTGTTGACGTAAATTCATTTAAGAAAATAACAATAATGTATTAATCAGAGGCAAGATGTAATCATCAGATAAAACAGATTTTAAATTTTTAGAGATCTTTCGACTGCAGGCTATCATTGAAATAAATAATCTAAAGGGTTTGGAAAATGCCCAGTTGTTTGAGGAAACTTAATGACAGAAAACTGCAATGTGATGTTAAGTTATTCAGATTATTATTAACTCCAGTATGAATCATTAAGTGATTACCAAAAAAGCTGGTCAAATTTATCGAAATAAGGTGGAACACAATAAACAATAAACTTACGTAACCATACGTATGTAACATGCAGTTCAACAGGCAACACAATGAACTATTACCATATCAACATTCATGAGCAAACACCAAGTTAATACAATATTTGGTAAATTGATTAGGATAAATTATTTACTAACTCGTAATACAAGGTGAAATAAACTCACAGAGAGTGAACGCTTTTTGTTGTTCTGAGTTTTGTTGACATCAGGCTTCTGAGAAACTTTGGTGTTTGTAGCAGTCGTCTTAGGTGTCCAAGCATCTAAGAGTTCAGTTCCATGAGCGATCGAACGGGGTGCAAATTCTTTCGGTTCATGAGAAGACTGTAATAATAATGATAATTTATAAGAAAAATTCATCGAAGAGACTAGAAATAAAGTAAATATGTCCCGTACAACACAAAATAAAATTGCTGTTTATAAATAATGAAAAGTTTAATGATTTTACTTGGAAATTTCAGTTACATAGGTTTGGAAGGTAGTTTACTACCACACAGAGTCAGTAGATTTTGGTTTCAAACAGTCTAATTTAATATATTTGGCAAAACAGATGTATCCAAAGAAACTCAGTTTCCATTCAAAATTGAAAGCAAGGTCATAAATATGTTTGATTGCGAATCCCAGGAAATAACCCGACTGATCAGTTTACAATACTTATTATTAGCATACCGATATATGCTGGAAATTAAATTTATGTAATGATTGTGTTTTACTCCTAATTTCTTATTCATTCGGACAGGTATTACGGCTGATTATTACATACCATGATAGTTTTGTGACCAGCGACCTAATATTTACTAATCAAGAAACTCAACAGTTTTTGTAAATAGTGAGAAACTACAGACACTATGTCATCAAGCATTAAGCTATTTGCACACATAACATCTTTTAAAATAATTCATTCAATTAAAATGGCAACGTTACTTTGTTTTATCTACGCAAACACGCATAGTAACGGTTTTATTAACTCACTTTGAATGGATTTCGTGAAGAGGGAGTCAACACAGAATGAGACAAAGACTCGGAATCTGCTAGAGGTAGATTATTAATCGAACCATCAATATGGCCATCATCAGTTCCTGAACTAACAAGTGAACTATCTGCCACATCATGATAATTTGAACCATTTGTAGGTCTTGAAGTCTTTGAATGAGAATGAATATGGTTGTTCGACGGAGAATAACCTGAGAACGTAGTAGGATCTCTAGAAAAAATTAAGAAATAAGACTAAATTCCATAGTGTATGTATGCACTAAGCAAAAATGAATTCAAATTAACGTACCAGGAAATTGATTATATTATTATTAATGGCTTTATTCAATATTATATTTTGGTACAATATAGAATTCTCAGCACATATATAGCACAACCAAAAATGCTGCTGACGAATTTCTAACAAAAAACGGTCGAATTCCACTTAGGATAACACAAGCAACAGATGATTACCAAGGTTGGGATATTACAACTTTAGACAAACCGAACCATCCGGAAAACACGGTGGGACTATAATTTATGGCCCACCTGTGAGCGACGCCAAAGTGACCTTGAGACAACTCACCTACTTACCTAGGTCAAAAGAGGATTATAAATTAATGTGGGTGATTAGGATCAAGATTACGAGTTAGGATTTAAAATTAGAAACTGAAGTCAAAGTTTTCATTACGAGCTAGCATCGGTTATAATGCCAAAAATGCTATTTAACTATAAGATGAATTAATTTCATGACAAAATACAAGATTTAGCATCCTTAATTTCATCGGTTTATCCATAAATCATAGTCTCGCTGCATAGAAAGATATTAATTTTTTAATCCGAAGTATCATCTTCACGAAATAGAACGAACACAACTAAGTATTTTAAGCCTATCTAGTAACTTTTGCAACGGATTCAAGCATCGCTACAATTAGGCCAAAGGAATAATACATGGAGAGTAATGAATGAATATAGACGTTTCAACGGTGAATCCTTTTATTAACAACGAAGACAAACGTATGTGGTTTTTCCTTTACAATATTTTTAGAATAAGCGACGAGGAATATATATACTCTTGTCAGTGTTGTAATTGTTAGGAGTCTCAACAATTCAGTCCTTTAGTAAGATTTATAAATCCTTAAACAATGAAAACTAGGGACACCTTTAGTCATTATGTGAAATATAGGTGAACTAATCGTATTACTAACCACCTATCACTTAGACACATGGTAATCACACAAACTGAAATACAATCTGATACTGAATTATAGAAGAAAAGAAGATAATAATACAAACAAACTGTATAACTTGATGTAATTCGTTCATGAAAAGAAGAGTTGGTTGAAGCCTGATTCTCGAAACTCGCCAAAGTAGATTCACAGATTACGATGTGGTGTGTGCTACTTATGCGAACAGACATAAGTGGTATGTATCAGTAATTGGAAGTGGAATGCTTACCAGCAGAAAATTTAAATAAAGAGAAGGGAAACAAAGAGCACTCGGAATAACAACATAATTGGAAGAATGATGGAGTATGTGCACGACAATTCAAGGAAGATATGCAAATGATGTATTTAATGTATGATTTTCATATTTTACAAATGTACTGTGTGACTTAGCATAAAATAATGAACTGGTTTACCGTACATCAGTTTTCGTTCACTACAACATCAACTTTACCCGAATCTGAATTTACGTAGATTGACTAATTTAAGATGATAGTTCAATTTATAAATCGGTTTCGAAAACGTATTGTGTGGTTAAATGAATTGAAACTTCTCACTAAAATAATAACCAAAAATAAAAGCATATCGATGAATATATGTACCTATTACACTTCCCTCTAAATGTTGAACTCTGTGGTATATCATCCCAATCATCAACTTCAACAGTTTCTGATACACGACGTTCTTTTTCTAAAGCAACTCCTGCTAAACGATGTGCAAGGTTTTGACGCCTCAGCCGACCAGCGTATCTAATAGCAAGCTGAACAGTTGCTGCATCTGGCATCATATTAGCGATTGCGAGGCTAGCCCAGTCAGATTCGAGTTTTGCTGCCAGCTGTATGAAGTAAAACAAAAAGGAAGTTAACCTGGAACAATAATTATGGAGAGAGAAAATTGACATCCCCATTTTATAAAGATAAGTGGTGACATGGGAACTGTTATTGTGATTAGTTTCCCAGTCTAAGCAAATAGTGTACTTAACGTTTCCTTACAGTACTCTTAAATACACTTTTAACCATTATGTTCTCTGAAATTTTATATTTCTATGCTCTTGTACCATATGATGATGATCAATAAACAATAAATATTTCTTTCCACATTATTAGTGCCTTAATTTCAAAAGATTATACTTTCAGTAGATTATGAGATTTTGATTGCCCAAGACTTTTTGCCATATATTTATACGATATTATCTTCAAATTCTTTATTTCTTTTTTTAAGACATTGTGATATCCTGCAAACACAAATCTTTTTAATATCTCATAATTACAGTATCTGATGTTAGTCGGAAAATCGATGTACTTTCAACGTTTTGTTCAGTTATTGCGAATGATCTCTTACCATTTTATAATTGTAACTATGTCTATAAGTGCTAACTCACTCATATGCGTTATAGTAACACAATAAACTTTATGATTTGTAATAGCAACTGTCTTGGTATAACCACATTCTCACGAAATCTTTAAGAAGACATCCCAGAAATATCTTCTACATTTTAAACGCAAAACATAAGACACAGTCTGCAATGAAAATTTATATTTACATACAAGACTAAAATTAGTACAAACAGATGAAGGTAAGTAAACAAAACTCACAGCGAAAAGACGTAACAGAACTGCCTTGCGCTTGGTCAGCGATTTTGTATTTAATGATAACAAATGTGACAATATATCTTCATTTGCATCAGTGATATTCGGACCCCAGATAGGCCAGTCTTCACTTATTACACACTGAAGATAATTTTCCTATTTAAAAATGATATTAAAAGTAAACTTATTTAACGACATGAGGAAAAAACGTATATTAAAAATGTCTTGCTTACTACCATATTTTTGATTATAAACTTTCTGACTCTATAATTTCGTTACTGATTATTGGGAAGAATAAAGTCATAGGTGATAAGAAAACGTGGACTATAATCAGACTCATATTTTCAAGGCAAATGGACAATGACATCACACTCACTCAATAGTACCACATAATCTTAAATCAAAGTAGGTGGGACAAGGATTTCCCGATCGTTGTTCGTACATTGAGGTTAGACCCAGGGTATTAGAGAATGATGGTAAATCAGTTAATGAGGTTGTGAATCTTCATCGACTGAGATGGTTGGGCCACGTGTTGTGTATGCCTGAACACCGATTACCACGACGTGCAATGCTAACCGGTGTTGGAGATGGTTTGAAGAAAGTAAGGGGCGGCCAAACCAAAACGTGGCATCAGTGCCTGAAGTCACTAACTTCTGGTCTGAGCCGTGTTGTAGATGCAGACTACTCGGTTGGGGTCCGCGTGACTATCGTAACAAATGGTTAGAAATGCTGAATAACATGGCCTAGAATCGATCACAATGGCATAGGTGTATACACTCTTTGTGTTCCCTTAAACTGAGATTAAAATAGCTTTCTTTCTTTGTGTACTATGTCGTTATATGCAATCTTGCTTTCATATATTACCACCCCTGAATTAACTATTTCTCTGAATCTGCTGTTAATTTTATTGTGTTAGTGAGATATGGTCAGTCAGCTACAAAGTAGGACCAGGCACATTTGTGCATCGGTCCAGGTTGCCATACCGCATCAGCAGTGAGATATGGGGACTTGGACCGATGCACATATGTGCCTGGTCCTACGTTGTAGCTGACCGACTGTACAAGGATTGAACCAATAACTTACTCAACAAGTGATTATTCAAGCAAATGATTCATTTTATTATTTATTTATTTATTTGAACACATAAATATTGGTACAAGAGAGCGCCAATATATATGCGCCACACAAAACAATGAGAATTCGAAGAGAAAAGAAAAAAAGGTAAGGAGCGTAAAAAAAGAGAACAATAACGAAGAGATTGGTGTAAGGTAGTGTGGTAGTAATGAGGGGACGGAAAGGTACAATCAGAAGAAACCCTTTAGTTAAGGAAGACACAACCACTTTTATGAAGAAAGTAAAAGGTTACAACAGGATCGCTACTGGCTTCTATTCTGAGCCATATCTGATAACGTCTCTAGCCATTGTGTTGCACCATCTCTCGGACCCCAACCAGGGAGTCGTGAAGGACCAACACAAGCCAGTCCTTTGCAGCTTTCTTTCATACCACGACACCATGTCATGCACTGACCACCTCTCCGCTTCTTCCAACCAGTCCCAGAGTCGGCAAATAATGCACGACGTGCAATTCTCTGGGACGACATTCGGAGAACATGTCCAAGCCACCGAAGTCGGTGTTTCAAGATGGTGACACCAATTGAATTATCATCTCTGTGCCCGAACACACGATGCCGAACCTCTGCATTACTGACATGATGTTGCCACTGAATGTCAGCAATCCTTCGGAGACAGCGATGATCGAACACAGATAGTCGTCTAACGTCCTCAACTCGGAGAGACCAGGTTTCACAAGCATAGAGCAAAACTGCTCTCACCGACGCGTTGTAGATCCGACCTTTTACGGCCAGACTAACATCACGAAGGCGCCATAGATGGCCCAGATTGGCATAAGCCGCTCTGGCTTTCACTATTCGTGCATTGATCTCATCACTCACACCCCCCACCAGCACTTATGCAGCTACCCAGATACACGAACTTCTCAACTACGTCTATCTGCTTACCGTCCAGGGTGAGTACAGGATTGGAATCCTGCCAGTCTTGTAGAAGTACTTTGCACTTCGAAGGTGCAAAGCACACACCATACCTACGGACACTGGTTGCCAACTGATTAAGTGCGCATTGCATGCCTTGGGCATTATTGCACAGTAAGACAATATAATCCGCATACTCAAGGTCGAGAAGTCTTTCTCCAGGCAACAGATCCACACCGCCATTACTTACATCCATTAGAGCTGTTTCCAGAATGTCATCGATGGCAAAGTTGAAGAGGAATGGTGAGATTGGGCAACCCCTGCTAACCCCACTGCTCGAATGGAACAATGGAGAGAGGTGGTTGTATGCCCTCACTCTGCCTGAGGTGTTTTTATACAGGGCTTTAGGATGTTAATAAACTTCTCAGGCACACCCCTTCTTCAATAGACAATCCCAGAGAACAGTCCTATCCAACGAATCGAAGGCAAGCCCTGATGTCAAGAAACACTACGATTGTTGGCCCTTTGAAAGTATGGCGGTGTTCTAACCTTTGGCGAAGGGTGAAGATATGATCAATACATCCTCGACCAGAACGAAACCCCAGCCTGCTGCTCGCGAGTCAATCTTTCTCGGGTTTTGAACAACCTACGAAGTATGACGGAAGCCAATAGCTTGGACGCAATCGGACGTAAACTTATCCCCCTATAGTTGTTACAGGAACGACGTGAACCCTTTTTAAAGATAGGGGACAACTATCGACTCATTCCATGACGTTGGTACACTCTCTAGTTCCCAACCCTTTGTAAACAACGTCGTCAATTCCATAGTCAAAAAGTCACCACCATCTTTAAAAATAGACGGAGGTAAGTCATCTGGGACAGGTGAATTGTAACGCTTCAAGAGTTAGAGTTCCTTGCGGACTTCCGCCTGATTTGGTGGATCAGTCGTCACCGGCCATGGAGGGCAGGACAGTCTGACCGATGTTGCCGGAGCAGCAGGCCAGTTGAACTGCCCTTCGAAAAATTCTGCCCTGCCCTCCAAGACGTCGATGGATGTTAGTGATTGGCATCCCATCATCCTCGCAGATTGTTTCACTCACACCAGACTTCTTGCTGCCAGTGGCTCGGATGAGTTGGAAGAGCTTCGGGTAATTACCGGATGCAGCTGCTGCTTCCAGCTCATTAGCACGCTTCGACCACCAGGCTTCTCGGTCCTTACGCAAGCTTTGCCCAATTTCCTTACGTAACAATCTTCGTTTGTGGTCAAACTCACGGTCACCCGGAGTAGACCGACGGGCTTCAATGAGTTGTAAGGAGCCAGAAGAAACCCAGTGCTAATAAGCGGGACGTTTCGCGAACCCACAAACTGACTGTACCTGCCATTTTTATGGCGTCATGCAATTGCAACCAATGCTCATCTATACTTTTCGGTGGAATGGTAGCTGGCCTAGAACCTAGCTCAGTCCGATACTTACTTGCAACAGAAGTTGCAACCAGCTTGCTAACATCAATCCGTTGATGGCGGTCACTTCGTTGTCCACTGAAAAGTAAGGCAAGATTGGCGCAGACCAAGGCATGGTCAGAGTCCAGATAGGTACTCCAAAAGGAGCGGCAGTCATGCCAGCAGTAGCTGATTGCGATGTGATCAATCTGAGTCCAGGCTTGAGATGCAGAGGGAGGACGCCAGGTGGCACATCGGCGATGACTGTGCCGAAAGTTAGTGCTAGCCAGAAACAGGGTGTGGTCTGTGCACAGTTGCAGTAGACGGTCCCCGTTATCTGTCCTGCGACCAACAAGTCCCCATCGGCCGCCTAAAGGACTCTCTTCTGTGCCTAGACGCCCGACCTAAGCTTTCAAGTCTCCGGCTAGTACTACAATATCTGTCGAACGCACTTTCTGGAGAAGAACTGATAACTGGTGGTAAAACTCATCCTTGATTGCATCCGGGCTGCAAAATGTCGGAGCATAGGCGGAGATGACGAAAAAACGTCGTTTGTCATGCCGATTCCTTCTCACTTTGAGGGAATTTTCTAATCTAACAGCACATAACCGACTATTAATAGGGATCCAATCGAATAGTGCTGCCACAGCTCTAGCGCTTAGGGCGACACCAACGCCAGCACGACCAGACGAAGATGCCTCAGTGTCTCCGGATAAACGCACGTAAAAAATGTCTTTTGAAGTGACAGAAGAAGAGCGAATTTGTAGTACATCACCAGAGTCTTGAATAATGGTCTCGGATAGGACAGCAAAACGTCTATATTAAGACTTCCCAACGACATAGCCAGCCCTATCTGTTGTCCGACCTGCATAAGTGTGCGAACGTTGAAGGCAGCCAGTTTGAATGGTGCACGTGGTTTCAGAAAAACTGCTTCAGTACTCATATTCAGTGGTAACATACAATTTTCAACCGGACAGTGACTCGAGAACGGTTAAGATACAGTCGAATTTCCACCAAAGACGAGCCGCTGTATAAGTATAAAAGAGGGTGAATAATGTGGAAAATAATAATAATAATAATATAATAATAATAATAATAATAATAATAATAATAAAATAATAATATATAGTATAATAGTAATAATAATAATAGTATTATTAATGACAATAATTGTAATGATAATAATTTGAATCAATTGATTGTTTTTGGAAGCGAGAAAAGTAATTCCATAGACATAGAGCGTTCATCATTTGTGTGTGGGCTGTGATACTGCCCGGGTGCCCAAACCGAAGCAGGTGGTTATCTTAGGGGGCCACACCCCGAACCGTCGACCTAAAGGTCTAACCCACAAGGCAGTGGAGCATCGTAAGGAGATGCAATACCATGGTAGCCGGTGACCAACGATTGGTTCATAGGCCATTTGTTCCCGCAGGATACTGGAGCCCATGTTCACACATGGTTTGTTATCCGTTAAAGGGGCCGGACATTCGCGTTTCGTCCTCTCAATTTCGTAAACAACAACCCCGCCATGAGAAGGAAATGAGTAGGACGTTCCCTGAATGCATTTTATCAAAAACGAAAAAACTATCAAACATATAGAAGGGTCTCTAGATGGATGTCATTTGGGTCAAACTTATACGGAGAATCTGTCACATATGTGCATCGGTTCAAATTGTCACACCACATCACCACAGTGATATGAAATTGTCAAGACAAATCCCAGAGTAGTAGTGTTAGCGGTTATAGAAAACTGGAAATAGTGATTTGTTAGAGAAAAAGTGAATTAGTAGGAATAATCAAAACAAGTATAAGATAATCCAGAAACTTAAGATCTAGGGAAAACAAAAACGTGAATGCACCTGAGTTATTGAGAGCGATTTTCAAACAGTCCACTCAAAATCTCTATCGTTTGTTACGATTATTACACGGATCCCAATCAGGTGGATTGCATCTACTCACGCGGATTGGTCCAATAATCAGTTAACTCATTGAGTTGGTTTGGCCGTCACCTAGCTTTCTTTTAGTGATATAATAAATATTTATTTCTCGTTGATGAGAAAGTGGCTATATCAATAATTATTAAAGAACCTAATCAAAGTCAATGGTATACTAGGAGAAACTTATACCAATGTACTACTTAATAATACGTCAGTTCAAAATGGTTTAACTTGTGATGAATGACACGCCGAATTTCTGGCAAAAATCTTCATAAATCTGATAATTTTAGGCATATAAAGCTTTTGTGAGAGTAGTCATTTTTGTGGTTGCTAATCTTAGTCCATCTCCTAGTTAAGTAAATCTGGATACTTTGAGTCCGGTCTTTGTTCCCATACACCAGTTACGTTCGCTAGAAAAACCCATGAAAGCAATGCTGAGGTCCAATAATATCTGTTTGACATAGTGAATAATTGGAATGTCGGCTTTTTAAAGGTTAAACACATCCTACGCATATTATTTCAGTGAGAATAGCAGAATGGTTGTTAAATGTATGACATGAAGTCGTGGAATGATGGACGGTTGTGTTGGATTAGTATTTGCCGAAACACAAACCCTCAGATAGGGTACTAAAAGCCTTAGAACTCAATAGCTTGGAATGTTGTCAGATATGGCGATCTTGATGCAATTTTATATTGTGCCTTTTTTAAAAACATTAAAATACTTGGAATGAATGAAATATATCTTTGCCATGATGTTTGAATTGCTTCTTTAGATCATTTTCACTTCTGTTAAATGATTTTCCTTTTGACATTTTAAAGTTTCTAAGCTTTGTATTGCTACAAACTTTTTAGTGTTACTAATATCTTGACTGCTGGCAGTTGTAGATACTACGACAATCTTAACTTTAAACGACAAAGATGAATACTTTTAGCTTCACTTGTTAGGCTCTCTCAAGTTTAGTAAGCTTACCAAAGTTATAAAATCAATGAAGAGGGACTAGGCTGATAGTTCACCGATTAAAATAAGCCTAAATCCCACTATATTAGTGAGAGATATAATTAATGTACAAAAAGCAGTTGGGCAACATGATCTAATCAAGATTTATTTAGATTGCCACGTCACGCTGCAACTGTAATGAGGAAAGTTACAGTCGATACGATACCCTAAGCTAATTGTTCATTTGGCATATTTGACCTCATTATACTGACTTTAAACGGTAGAAAATTAATAAACATAACACTTTATAATTCACAAGTACTTGTAAAACTAACCTCCAAATCACTTTGATTCAGTATTCATTGAACATAAAGGTAGACGGAAGGATATATTTGACACCACAGGTCGTGGAAACAAACTCTTGGCCATTTTGAGGCTTTACAGTAAATTGCTTGGAGCTGACCAAAACCCAACGACATTGGATTTCAAATCCTTTTTATTTCAGAAGACAAATTTTCTACAGATTCACAAGATTCTAGGGCACCAACAACGAAATAATTATCTGTTCGCCTATTGTTTTGCTTTAATAAACTTCTTGTATCACAAATAGGAACCCAATGAAATTCTGGGTGTCTTTGCGAACGGCCATGAATAAGGCGTCGTACGACTCCATTAGAGTCATATGTAAACAATCCTCCAGAATCAGAGAATCCAAACCAAGTTAAGCGAACTACTGAAGTGTCCAGGGAGGTATGTTTTAACGGAGGGACTAAGTGGCAAATGTTGCCAGATAGATAAGGAACTTTTCATCCATAGTGGAGCTGCAGTCCGGTTGGATCCGAGCATAATTCTCCCAAGTAAAACACTCTCCATTCTAATTCTCCTACTACATTACAAGTTACCACAGCCAAAATAGGATTATTAGGATGACTTGCTAAGACAACAGTGTGGTGACCAGAGAGACTAATGGGTGGCAAACCTAGCTTATTTATCTGAAGCAGACGTAAATTACTCGAATGTGCCACGGATGAAGATGGGGAAGGTTGGGTAAAAATGCGCAGCAGGCACTTTGAGGTAGCGACAACAGCATAACCAGGACTTTCAGTTTTATCATTACCCTCTTCAGTAACTAAGCAAACTGCATCACATAATTCGCCAGGTGGGAGAGTTGTAGTCCATTCTACAGAGGCATCTCCGATGTTTGAACTGCCAACATCGAGTGGTAATATTGCGATGCGACTGAGGTCATATAATTCATTTTGCTCATCATCATTCAAGTCATCCAGATTGGGGTCGTCTGAACCCTAAACATTATGAAAAAGTAAATTAGAGCATGAATAATTTATGTTTTTACATATGATATCAAAATAAACAAGAAAATTGGTGACTCGATTCTACATTAACATTAAAAGCCGACTCAGTCAGTCAGTTATATACAAAGTAGGACGAGACACATATATGCATTGCTCGAAGTTACCATATAATTAAAATCGTGAAGCTGAAACAAATAAACTTTGAAAAATGAATATTGAAGGATGTTCGAATTTCAATCAGCCTATTTTGTACTATATTTGCTTTAAAACTGCTATGCCAAAAAGTTCGCAACAACTGTGGGTTGCATTAAGTGAGACGAAAACTAGGTCTTGTAGTAACCCCCTGATTAAATTTATATATTTGAACACATAAATATTGGTACAAGAGAGCGCCAATATATATGCGCCACACAAAACAATGAGAATTCGAAGAGAAAGAAAAAAAAGGTAAGGAGCGTAAACAAAGAGAACAATAACGAAGAGATTGGTGTAAGGTAGTGTGGTAGTAATGAGGGGACGGAAAGGTACAATCAGAAGAAACCCTTTAGTTAAGGAAGACACAACCACTTTTATGAAGAAAGTAAAAGGTTACAACAGGATCGCTACTGGCTTCTATTCTGAGCCATATCTGATAACGTCTCTAGCCATTGTGTTGCCACATCTCTCGGACCCCAACCAGGGAGTCGTGAAGGACCAACACAAGCCAGTCCTTTGCAGCTTTCTCTCATACCACGACACCATGTCATGCACTGACCACCTCTCCGCTTCTTCCAACCAGTCCCAGAGTCGGCAAATAATGCACGACGTGCAATTCTCTGGGACGACATTCGGAGAACATGTCCAAGCCACCGAAGTCAGTGTTTCAAGATGGTGACACCAATTGACTTATCATCTCTGTGCCCGAACACACGAAGCCGAACCTCTGCATTACTGACATGGTGTTGCCACTGAATGTCAACAATCCTTCGGAGACAGCGATGATCGAACACAGATAGTCGTCTAACGTCCTCAACTCGGAGAGGCCAGGTTTCACAAGCATAGAGCAAAAACTGCTCTCACCGACGCGTTGTAGATCCGACCTTTTACGGCCAGACTAACATCACGAAGGCGCCATAGATGGCCCAGATTGGCATAAGCCGCTCTGGCTTTCACTATTCGTGCATTGATCTCATCACTCACACCCCCACCAGCACTTACGCAGCTACCCAGATACACGAACTTCTCAACTACGTCCTATCTGCTTACCGTCCAGGGTGAGTACAGGATTGGAATCTGCCCAGTCTTGTAGAAGTACTTTGCACTTCGAAGGTGCAAAGCACACACCATACCTACGGACACTGGTTGCCAACTGATTAAGTGCGCATTGCATGCCTTGGGCATTATTGCACAGTAAGACAATATAATCCGCATACTCAAGGTCGAGAAGTCTTTCTCCAGGCAACAGATCCACACCGCCATTACTTACATCCATTAGAGCTGTTTCCAGAATGTCATCGATGGCAAAGTTGAAGAGGAATGGTGAAATTGGGCAACCCTGCCTAACCCCACTGCTCGAATGGAACAATGGAGAAAGGTGCACATGGTGCATGTATTAATAACGTTCTGATGTCAGTTTCAGGGCAGTGTAAAAGCATCGTCTCAAAAGTCGTATACTTCATACCTGGTTCTCAAGATTTATTTCTTCGACGATAGGTGACAGTTACCTTAGTCTGATAACTATGTTTATCGCATATTCAGAAGCATAGTATTCAATAACGATAGAAAAGTGGGAAAGTATAAGTTACCTTTAGGTTTCCAATAGTTTTAGTTTTCTAGGCATTTAGATTTTTTGAAAATTTATTTGAGTGTAGTTTACTGTGGATGATTAGTTAATTCTCAAGCAAACCAACAGAGAATTTGAAAACATTGCGAAAAACAAATGAAAAGAATTTCAAAGAATTTACAGTTATTCAAAATTTATCCAAGTATTGTGCGATTAGAAAGATTTCCACAGTTGAAAACGACAACCTCTTGGGATTTTACAAGATTTATTAACTGTATTTAAGATGGTAAAAGCTAGTTTACTGCACTTTTAAGCAAATTGTAAATAATAGATATCCTTTAACCAAGAATACGAACATTTGTACTTCCGAAGTCATATATTAAAATTAATCATTGATCATATTAATGTCTGAAATTCAATAGTTTAAATATTCGAGTATTCCATTTATAAAAAGATAAGGATATTAATTGCATGGTTCATCTCTTTTAGTTCAAACACAAACGAACTTACACCATTTTTAAGACGCAGATGGATGAGTGGAGAACAGCTATTAACAGCAGTACACATTATCCAGATATAGAGAGTTCATCGATTGCAGCCCGGATGCAATCAAGGATGAGTTTTACCACCAGTTATCAGTTCTTCTCCAGAAAGTGCGTTCGACAGATATTGTAGTACTAGCCGGAGACTTGAATGCTCAGGTCGGGCGTCTAGGCACAGAAGAGAGTCGTTTAGGTGGCCGATGGGGACTCGTTGGTCGCAGGTCAGATAACGGGGACCGTCTACTGCAACTTTGCACAGACCACAACCTGTTTCTGGCTAGCACTAACTTTCGGCACAGTCATCGCCGATGTGCCACCTGGCGTCCTCCCTCTGCATCTCAAGCCTGGACTCAGATTGATCACATCGCAATCAGCTACTGCTGGCATGACTGCCGCTCCTTTTGGAGTACCTATCTGGACTCTGACCATGCCTTGGTCTGCGCCAATCTTGCCTTACTTTTCAGTGGACAACGAAGTGACCGCCATCAACGGATTGATGTTAGCAAGCTGGTTGCAACTTCTGTTGCAAGTAAGTATCGGACCGAGCTAGGTTCTAGGCTAGCTACCACTCCACCGAAAAGTATAGATGAGCATTGGTTGCAATTGCATGACGCCATGAAAATGGCAGGTACAGTCAGTTGTGGGTTTATTTATTTATTTATTTATTTATTTGAACACATAAATATTGGTACAAGAGAGCGCCAATATATATGCGCCACACAAAACAATGGGAATTCGAAGAGAAGTAGAAAGAAAAAAACTAAGGAACGCAAAAGAAAAAGAGAGTAATGACGAAGAGGTACAATCAGAAGAAATCTTTCAGGTAAAGGAGACACAACCACTTTTTATGAAGAAAGTAAAAGAAGGTTACAGCAAGATCGCCACTGGCTTCTATTCTGAGCCATATCTGATAACGTCTCTAGCCACTGTGTAGCACCATCTCTCGGACCCCAGCCAGGGAGTCGTGAAGGACCAACACAAGCCAGTCCTTTGCAGCTTTCTTTCATGCCACGACACCATGTCATGCACTGACCACCTCTCCGCTTCTTCCAACCAGTCCCAGAGTCGGCAAATAATGCACGACGTGCAATTCTCTGGGACGACATTCGGAGAACATGTCCAAGCCACCGAAGTCGGTGTTTCAAGATGGTGACACCAATTGAGTTATCATCTCTGTGCCCGAACACACGATGCCGAACCTCTGCATTACTGACATGGTGTTGCCACTGAATGTCAGCAATCCTTCGGAGACAGCGATGATCGAACACAGAGAGTCGTCTAACGTCCTCAACTCGGAGAGGCCAGGTTTCACAAGCATAGAGCAAAACTGCTCTCACCGACGCGTTGTAGATCCGGCCTTTTACAGCCAGACTAACATCACGAAGGCGCCAAAGGTGGCCCAGATTGGCATAAGCCGCTCTGGCTTTCACTATTCGTGCATTGATCTCATCACTCACACCCCCACCAGCACTTATGCAGCTACCCAGATACACGAACTTCTCAACTACGTCTATCTGCTCACCATCCAGGGTGAGTACAGGATTAGAATCCTGCCAGTCTTGTAGAAGTACTTTGCACTTCGAAGGTGCAAAGCACATACCATACCTACGGACATTGATTGCCAACTGATTAAGTGCGGATTGCATGCCTCGGGCATTATCGCACAGTAAGACAATATCGTCCGCATACTCAAGGTCGAGAAGTCTTTCTCCAGGCAACAGATCCACACCACCATTACTTACATTCATCAGAGCTGTTTCCAGAATGTCATCGATGGCAAAGTTGAAGAGGAATGGTGAGATTGGGCAACCCTGCCTAACCCCACTGCTCGAATGGAACAATGGAGAGAGGTGGTTGTATGCCCTCACTCTGCCTGAGGTGTTTTTATACAGGGCTTTTAGGATGTTAATAAACTTCTCAGGCACACCCTTCTTCAATAGACAATCCCAGAGAACAGTCCTATCCAACGAATCGAAGGCAGCCCTGATGTCAAGAAACACTACGATTGTTGGCCTTTGAAAAGTATGGCGGTGTTCTAACATTTGGCGGAGGGTGAAGATATGATCAATACATCCTCGACCAGAACGAAACCCAGCCTGCTCCTCGCGAGTCAATCTTTCTCGGGTTTTGAACAACCTACTAAGAATGACGGAAGCCAATAGCTTGGACGCAATCGGAAGTAAACTTATCCCCCGATAGTTGTTACAAGAACGACGTGAACCCTTTTTAAAGATAGGGACAACTATCGACTCATTCCATGACGTTGGTACACTCTCTAGTTCCCAAACCTTTGTAAACAACGTCGTCAATTCCTTAGTCAAAAAGTCACCACCATCTTTAAAAATAGCCGGAGGTAAGTCATCTGGGCCAGGTGATTTGTAACGCTTCAAGAGTTAGAGTTCCTTGCGGACTTCCGCCTGATTTGGTGGATCAGTCGTCACCGGCCATGGAGGGCAGGACAGTCTGACCGATGTTGCCGGAGCAGCAGGCCAGTTGAACTGCCCTTCGAAAAATTCTGCCCATCGTCCAAGACGTCGATGGATGTTAGTGATTGGCATCCCATCATCCTCGCAGATTGTTTCACTCACACCAGACTTCTTGCTGCCAGTGGCTCGGATGAGTTGGAAGAGCTTCCGGTAGTTACCAGATGCAGCTGCTGCTTCCAGCTCATTAGCACGCATCGACCACCAGGCTTCTCGGTCCTTACGCAAGCTTTGCCCGATTTCCTTACATAGCATCCTTCGTTTATGGTCAAACTCACGGTCACCCGGAGTAGACCGACGGGCTTCAATGATTTGTAAGGAACCTGCAGAAACCCAGTGCTAATAAGCGGGACGTTTCGCGAACCCACAACTGGTTCTGGTTCCTTACAACTCATTGAAGCCCGTCGGTCTACTCCGGGTAACCGTGAGTTTGACCATAAACGAAGGTTTTTACGTAAGGAAATCGGGCAAAGCTTGCGTAAGGACCGAGAAGCCTGGTGGTCGATGCGTGCTAATGAGCTGGAAGCAGCAGCTGCATCTGGTAACTACCGGAAGCTCTTCCAACTCATCCGAGCCACTGGCAGCAAGAAGTCTGGTGTGAGTGAAACAATCTGCGAGGATGATGGGATGCCAATCACTAACATCCATCGACGTCTTGGACGATGGGCAGAATTTTTCGAAGGGCAGTTCAACTGGCCTGCTGCTCCGGCAACAGCGGTCAGACTGTCCTGCCCTCCATGGCCGGTGACGACTGATCCACCAAATGAGGAGGAAGTCCGCAAGGAACTTCAACTCTTGAAGCGTTACAAATCACCTGGCCCAGATGACTTACCTCCGGCTCTTTTTAAAGATGGTGGTGACTTTTGACTAAGGAATTGACGACGTTGTTTACAAAGGTTTGGGATCTAGAGAGTGTACCAACGTCATGGAATGAGTCGATGGTTGTCTCTATCTCTAAAAAGGGTTCACGTCGTTTCTGTAACAAATATCGGGGGATAAGTTTACTTCCGATTGCGTCCAAGCTATTGGCTTCCGTCATACTTCGTAGGTTGTTCAAAACCCGAGAAAGATTGACTCGCGAGGAGCAGGCTGGGTTTCGTTCTGGTCGAGGATGTATTGATCATATCTTCACCCTCCGCCAAATGTTAGAACACCGCCATACTTTTCAAAGGCCAACAATCGTAGTGTTTCTTGACATCAGGGCTGCCTTCGATTCGTTGGATAGGACTGTTCTCTGGGATTGTCTATTGAAGAAGGGTGTGCCTGAGAAGTTTATTAACATCCTAAAAGCCCTGTATAAAAACACCTCAGGCAGAGTGAGGGCATACAACCACCTCTCTCCATTGTTCCATTCGAGCAGTGGGGTTAGGCAGGGTTGCCCAATCTCACCATTCCTCTTCAACTTTGCCATCGATGACATTCTGGAAACAGCTCTGATGAATGTAAGTAATGGTGGTGTGGATCTGTTGCCTGGAGAAAGACTTCTCGACCTTGAGTATGCGGACGATATTGTCTTACTGTGCGATAATGCCCGAGGCATGCAATCCGCACTTAATCAGTTGGCTATCCATGCCCGTAGGTATGGTATGTGCTTTGCACCTTCGAAGTGCAAAGTACTTCTACAAGACTGGCAGGATTCTAATCCTGTACTCACCCTGGATGGTGAGCAGATAGACGTAGTTGAGAAGTTCGTGTATCTGGGTAGCTGCATAAGTGCTGGTGGGGGTGTGAGTGATGAGATCAATGCACGAATAGTGAAAGCCAGAGCGGCTTATGCCAATCTGGGCCACCTTTGGCGCCTTCGTGATGTTAGTCTGGCTGTAAAAGGCCGGATCTACAACGCGTCGGTGAGAGCAGTTTTGCTCTATGCTTGTGAAACCTGGCCTCTCCGAGTTGAGGACGTTAGACGACTCTCTGTGTTCGATCATCGCTGTCTCCGAAGGATTGCTGACATTCAGTGGCAACACCATGTCAGTAATGCAGAGGTTCGGCATCGTGTGTTCGGGCACAGAGATGATAACTCAATTGGTGTCACCATCTTGAAACACCGACTTCGGTGGCTTGGACATGTTCTCCGAATGTCGTCCCAGAGAATTGCACGTCGTGCATTATTTGCCGACTCTGGGACTGGTTGGAAGAAGCGGAGAGGTGGTCAGTGCATGACATGGTGTCGTGGCATGAAAGAAAGCTGCAAAGGACTGGCTTGTGTTGGTCCTTCACGACTCCCTGGCTGGGGTCCGAGAGATGGTGCTACACAGTGGCTAGAGACGTTATCAGATATGGCTCAGAATAGAAGCCAGTGGCGATCTTGCTGTAACCTTCTTTTACTTTCTTCATAAAAAGTGGTTGTGTCTCCTTTACCTGAAAGATTTCTTCTGATTGTACCTCTTCGTCATTACTCTCTTTTTCTTTTGCGTTCCTTAGTTTTTTTTCTTTCTACTTCTCTTCGAATTCCCATTGTTTTGTGTGGCGCATATATATTGGCGCTCTCTTGTACCAATATTTATGTGTTCAAATAAATAAATAAATAAATAAATAAACCCACAACTGACTGTACCTGCCATTTTCATGGCGTCATGCAATTGCAACCAATGCTCATCTATACTTTTCGGTGGAGTGGTAGCTAGCCTAGAACCTAGCTCGGTCCGATACTTACTTGCAACAGAAGTTGCAACCAGCTTGCTAACATCAATCCGTTGATGGCGGTCACTTCGTTGTCCACTGAAAAGTAAGGCAAGATTGGCGCAGACCAAGGCATGGTCAGAGTCCAGATAGGTACTCCAAAAGGAGCGGCAGTCATGCCAGCAGTAGCTGATTGCGATGTGATCAATCTGAGTCCAGGCTTGAGATGCAGAGGGAGGACGCCAGGTGGCACATCGGCGATGACTGTGCCGAAAGTTAGTGCTAGCCAGAAACAGGTTGTGGTCTGTGCAAAGTTGCAGTAGACGGTCCCCGTTATCTGACCTGCGACCAACGAGTCCCCATCGGCCACCTAAACGACTCTCTTCTGTGCCTAGACGCCCGACCTGAGCATTCAAGTCTCCGGCTAGTACTACAATATCTGTCGAACGCACTTTCTGGAGAAGAACAGATAATTGGTGGTAGAATTCATCCTTGATTGCATCCGGGCTGCAATCGATGAACTCTCTATATCTGTATAATGTGTACTGCTGTTAATAGCTGTTCTCCACTCATCCATCTGCGTCTTAAAAATGGTGTAAGTTCGATTGTGTTTGAACTAAAAGAGATGAACCATGCAATTAATATCCTTATCTTTTTATAAATGGAATACTCGAATATTTAAACTATTGAATTTCAGACATTAATATGATCAATGATTAATTTTAATATATGACTTCGAAAGTACAAATGTTCGTATTCTTGGTTAAAGGATATCTATTATTTACAATTTGCTTAAAAGTGCAGTAAACTAGCTTTTACCATCTTAAATACAGTTAATAAATCTTGTAAAATCCCAAGAGGTTGTCGTTTTCAACTGTGGAAATCTTTCTAATCGCACAATACTTGGATAAATTTTGAATAACTGTAAATTCTTTGAAATTCTTTTCATTTGTTTTTTGCAATGTTTTCAAAATCTCTGTTGGTTTGCTTGAGAATTAACTAATCATCCATAGTAAACTACACTCAAATAAATTTTCAAAAAATCTAAATGCCTAGAAAACTAAAACTATTGGAAACCTAAAGGTAACTCATACTTTCCCACTTTTCTATCGTTATTGAATACTATGCTTCTGAATATGCGATAAACATAGTTATCAGACTAAGGTAACTGTCACCTATCGTCGAAGAAATAAATCTTGAGAACCAGGTATGAAATATACGACTTTTGAGACGCTGCTTTTACACTGCCCTGAAACTGACATCAGAACGTTATTAATACATGCACCATGTGCACCTTTCTCCATTGTTCCATTCGAGCAGTGGGGTTAGGCAGGGTTGCCCAATCTCACCATTCCTCTTCAACTTTGCCATCGATGACATTCTGGAAACAGCTCTAATGGATGTAAGTAATGGCGGTGTGGATCTGTTGCCTGGAGAAAGACTTCTCGACCTTGAGTATGCGGATTATATTGTCTTACTGTGCAATAATGCCCAAGGCATGCAATGCGCACTTAATCAGTTGGCAACCAGTGTCCGTAGGTATGGTGTGTGCTTTGCACCTTCGAAGTGCAAAGTACTTCTACAAGACTGGCAGGATTCCAATCCTGTACTCACCCTGGACGGTAAGCAGATAGACGTAGTTGAGAAGTTCGTGTATCTGGGTAGCTGCATAAGTGCTGGTGGGGGTGTGAGTGATGAGATCAATGCACGAATAGTGAAAGCCAGAGCGGCTTATGCCAATCTGGGCCATCTATGGCGCCTTCGTGATGTTAGTCTGGCCGTAAAAGGTCGGATCTACAACGCGTCGGTGAGAGCAGTTTTGCTCTATGCTTGTGAAACCTGGCCTCTCCGAGTTGAGGACGTTAGACGACTATCTGTGTTCGATCATCGCTGTCTCCGAAGGATTGTTGACATTCAGTGGCAACATCATGTCAGTAATGCAGAGGTTCGGCATCGTGTGTTCGGGCACAGAGATGATAATTCAATTGGTGTCACCATCTTGAAACACCGACTTCGGTGGCTTGGACATGTTCTCCGAATGTCGTCCCAGAGAATTGCACGTCGTGCATTATTTGCCGACTCTGGGACTGGTTGGAAGAAGCGGAGAGGTGGTCAGTGCATGACATGGTGTCGTGGTATGAAAGAAAGCTGCAAAGGACTGGCTTGTGTTGGTCCTTCACGACTCCCTGGTTGGGGTCCGAGAGATGGTGCAACACAATGGCTAGAGACGTTATCAGATATGGCTCAGAATAGAAGCCAGTAGCGATCCTGTTGTAACCTTTTACTTTCTTCATAAAAGTGGTTGTGTCTTCCTTAACTAAAGGGTTTCTTCTGATTGTACCTTTCCGTCCCCTCATTACTACCACACTACCTTACACCAATCTCTTCGTTATTGTTCTCTTTTTTTACGCTCCTTACCTTTTTTTCTTTTCTCTTCGAATTCTCATTGTTTTGTGTGGCGCATATATATTGGCGCTCTCTTGTACCAATATTTATGTGTTCAAATAAATAAATTTAATCAGGGGTTACTACAAGACCTAGTTTTCGTCTCACTTAATGCAACCCACAGTTGTTGCGAACTTTTTGGCATAGCAGTTTTAAAGCAAATATAGTACAAAAATAGGCTGATTGAAATTCGAACATCCTTCAATATTCATTTTTCAAAGTTTATTTGTTTCAGCTTCACGATTTTAATTATATGGTAACTTGGAGCAATGCATATATGTGTCTCGTCCTACTTTGTATATAACTGACTGACCGAGTCGGCTTTTAATGTTAATGTAGAGTCGAGTCACCAATTTTCTTGTTTATTTTGATATCATATGTAAAAAGATAAATTATTCATGCTCTAATTTACTTTTTCATAATGTTTAGGGTTCAGACGACCCCAATCTGGATGACTTGAATGATGATGAGCAAAATGAATTATATGACCTCAGTCGCATCGCAATATTACCACTCGATGTTGGCAGTTCAAACATCGGAGATGCCTCTGTAGAATGGACTACAACTCTCCCACCTGGCGAATTATGTGATGCAGTTTGCTTAGTTACTGAAGAGGGTAATGATAAAACTGAAAGTCCTGGTTATGCTGTTGTCGCTACCTCAAAGTGCCTGCTGCGCATTTTTACCCAACCTTCCCCATCTTCATCCGTGGGACATTCGAGTAATTTACGTCTGCTTCAGATAAATAAGCTAGGTTTGCCACCCATTAGTCTCTCTGGTCACCACACTGTTGTCTTAGCAAGTCATCCTAATAATCCTATTTTGGCTGTGGTAACTTGTAATGTAGTAGGAGAATTAGAATGGAGAGTGTTTTACTTGGGAGGAATTATGCTCGGATCCAACCGGACTGCAGCTCCACTATGGATGAAAAGTTCCTTATCTATCTGGCAACATTTGCCACTTAGTCCTCCGTTAAAACATACCTCCCTTGACACTTCAGTAGTTCGCTTAACTTGGTTTGGATTCTCTGATACTGGAGGATTGTTTACATATGACTCTAATGGAGTCGTACGACGCCTTATTCATGGCCGTTCGCAAAGACACCCAGAATTTCATTGGGTTCCTATTTGTGATACAAGAAGTTTATTAAAGCAAAACAATAGGCGAACAGATAATTATTTCGTTGTTGGTGTCCTAGAATCTTGTGAATCTGTAGAAAATTTGTCTTCTGAAAATAAAAAGGATTTGAAATCCAATGTCGTTGGGTTTGGTCAGCTCCAAGCAATTTACTGTAAAGCCTCAAAATGGCCAAGAGTTTTTCCACGACCTGTGGTGTCAAATATATCCTTCCGTCTACCTTTATGTTCAATGAATACTGATCAAAGTGATTTGGAGGTTAGTTTTACAAGTACTTGTGAATTATAAAGTGTTATGTTTATTAATTTCTACCGTTTAAAGTCAGTATAATGAGGTCAAATATGCCAAATGAACAATTAGCTTAGGGTATCGTATCGACTGTAACTTTCCTCATTACAGTTGCAGCGTGACGTGGCAATCTAAATAAATCTTGATTAGATCATGTTGCCCAACTGCTTTTTGTACATTAATTATATCTCTCACTAATATAGTGGGATTTATGGCTTATTTTAATCGGTGAACTATCAGCCTAGTCCCTCTTCATTGATTTTATAACTTTGGTAAGCTTACTAAACTTGAGAGAGCCTAACAAGTGAAGCTAAAAGTATTCATCTTTGTCGTTTAAAGTTAAGATTGTCGTAGTATCTACAACTGCCAGCAGTCAAGATATTAGTAACACTAAAAAGTTTGTAGCAATACAAAGCTTAGAAACTTTAAAATGTCAAAAGGAAAATCATTTAACAGAAGTGAAAATGATCTAAAGAAGCAATTCAAACATCATGGCAAAGATATATTTCATTCATTCCAAGTATTTTAATGTTTTTAAAAAAGGCACAATATAAAATTGCATCAAGATCGCCATATCTGACAACATTCCAAGCTATTGAGTTCTAAGGCTTTTAGTACCCTATCTGAGGGTTTGTGTTTCGGCAAATACTAATCCAACACAACCGTCCATCATTCCACGACTTCATGTCATACATTTAACAACCATTCTGCTATTCTCACTGAAATAATATGCATAGGATGTGTTTAACCTTTAAAAGCCGACATTCCAATTATTCACTATGTCAAACAGATATTATTGGACCTCAGCATTGCTTTCATGGGTTTTCTAGCGAACGTAACTGGTGTATGGGAACAAAGACCGGACTCAAAGTATCCAGATTTACTTAACTAGGAGATGGACTAAGATTAGCAACCACAAAAATGACTACTCTCACAAAAGCTTTATATGCCTAAAATTATCAGATTTATGAAGATTTTTGCCAGAAATTCGGCGTGTCATTCATCACAAGTTAAACCATTTTTGAACTGACGTATTTATTAAGTAGTACATTGGTATAAGTTTCTCCTAGTATACCATTGACTTTGATTAGGTTCTTTAATAATTATTGATAAAGCCACTTTCTCATCAACGAGAAATAAATATTTATTATATCACTAAAAGAAAGCTAGGTGACGGCCAAACCAACTCAATGAGTAACTGATTATTGGACCAATCCGCGTGAGTAGATGCAATCCACCTGATTGGGATCCGTGTAATAATCGTAACAAACGATAGAGATTTTGAGTGGACTGTTTGAAAATCGCTCTCAATAACTCAGGTGCATTCACGTTTTGTTTTCCCTTAGATCTTAAGTTTCTGAATTATCTTATACTTGTTTTGATTATTCTACTAATTCACATTTTCTTAACAAATCATATTTCCTGTTTTCTATAACCGCTAACACTACTACTCTGGGATTTGTCTTGACAATTTCATATCACTGTGGTGATGTGGTGTGACAATTTGAACCGATGCACATATGTGACAGATTCTCCGTTAAGTTTGACCAAATGACATCCATCTAGAGACCTTCTATATGTTTGATAGTTTTTTCGTTTTTGTTAAAATGAATCAGGGAAGTCCTACTCATTGCCTTCTCATGGCGGGGTTGTTGTTTACGAAAATGAGAGGACGAAAAGCGAATGTCCGGCCCTTTAACCGGATCACAAACCAATGGTGAACATGGGCTCCAGTATCCTGCGGGAACAAATGGCATATGAACCAATCGTTAGTCACCGGCTACCATGGGATTGCATCTCCTTACGATGCCCCACTGCCTTGTGGGTTAGACCTTTAGGTCGAAGGTTCGGGGTGTGGCCCCCTAAGATAACCACCTGCTTCGGTTTGGGCACCCGGGCAGTATCACAGCCCACACACAAATGATGAACTCTCTATGTCTATGGAAATTACTTTTCTCGCTTCCAAAAACAATCAATTGATTCAAATTATTATCATTACAATTATTGTCATTAATAATACTATTATTATTATTACTATTACTACTACTATTATTATTATTATTATTATTATTATTATTATTATTATTATTATTATTATTATTATTATTATTATTATTTTCCACATTATTCACCCTCTTTTATACTTATACAGCGGCTCGTCTTTGGTGGAAATTCGACTGTATCTAAACGTTCTCGAGTCACTGTCCGGTTGAAAATTGTATGTTACCACTGAATATGAGTACTGAAGCAGTTTTTCTGAAACCACGTGCACCATTCAAACTGGCTGCCTTCAACGTTCGCACACTTATGCAGGTCGGACAACAGATAGGGCTGGCTATGTCGTTGGGAAGTCTTAATATAGACGTTTGCTGTCTATCCGAGACCCATATTCAAGACTCTGGTGAAGTACTACAAATTCGCTCTTCATCTGTCACTTCAAAAGACTTGTTTTACGTGCGTTTATCCGGAGACACTGTGGCATCTTCGTCTGGTCGTGCTGGCGTTGGTGTCGCACTAAGCGCTAGAGCTGAGGCAGCACTAATCGATTGGATCCCCATTAATAGTCGGTTATGTGCTGTTAGATTAGAAAATTCCGTCAAAGTGAGAAGAAATCGGCATGACAAACGACGTTTTTTCGTCATCTCCGCCTATGCTCCGACATTGCAGCCCGGATGCAATCAAGGATGAGTTTTACCACCAGTTATCAGTTCTTCTCCAGAAAGTGCGTCCGACAGATATTGTAGTACTAGCCGGAGACTTGAATGCTTAGGTCGGGCGTCTAGGCACAGAAGAGAGTCCTTTAGGTGGCCGATGGGGACTTGTTGGTCGCAGGACAGATAACGGGGACCGTCTACTGCAACTGTGCACAGACCACACCCTGTTTCTGGCTAGCACTAACTTTCGGCACAGTCATCGCCGATGTGCCACCTGGCGTCCTCCCTCTGCATCTCAAGCCTGGACTCAGATTGATCACATCGCAATCAGCTACTGCTGGCATGACTGCCGCTCCTTTTGGAGTACCTATCTGGACTCTGACCATGCCTTGGTCTGCGCCAATCTTGCCTTACTTTTCAGTGGACAACGAAGTGACCGCCATCAACGGATTGATGTTAGCAAGCTGGTTGCAACTTCTGTTGCAAGTAAGTATCGGACCGAGCTAGGTTCTAGGCCAGCTACCATTCCACCGAAAAGTATAGATGAGCATTGGTTGCAATTGCATGACGCCATAAAAATGGCAGGTACAGTCAGTTGTGGGTTCGCGAAACGTCCCGCTTATTAGCACTGGGTTTCTTCTGGCTCCTTACAACTCATTGAAGCCCGTCGGTCTACTCCGGGTGACCGTGAGTTTGACCACAAACGAAGATTGTTACGTAAGGAAATTGGGCAAAGCTTGCGTAAGGACCGAGAAGCCTGGTGGTCGAAGCGTGCTAATGAGCTGGAAGCAGCAGCTGCATCCGGTAATTACCAGAAGCTCTTCCAACTCATCCGAGCCACTGGCAGCAAGAAGTCTGGTGTGAGTGAAACAATCTGCGAGGATGATGGGATGCCAATCACTAACATCCATCGACGTCTTGGACGGTAGGCAGAATTTTTCGAAGGGCAGTTCAACTGGCCTGCTGCTCCGGCAACATCGGTCAGACTGTCCTGCCCTCCATGGCCGGTGACGACTGATCCACCAAATCAGGCGGAAGTCCGCAAGGAACTCTAACTCTTGAAGCGTTACAAATCACCTGGCCCAGATGACTTACCTCCGGCTATTTTTAAAGATGGTGGTGACTTTTTGACTAAGGAATTGACGACGTTGTTTACAAAGGTTTGGGAACTAGAGAGTGTACCAACGTCATGGAATGAGTCGATAGTTGTCCCTATCTTTAAAAAGGGTTCACGTCGTTCCTGTAACAACTATAGGGGGATAAGTTTACTTCCGATTGCGTCCAAGCTATTGGCTTCCGTCATACTTCGTAGGTTGTTCAAAACCCGAGAAAGATTGACTCGCGAGCAGCAGGCTGGGTTTCGTTCTGGTCGAGGATGTATTGATCATATCTTCACCCTTCGCCAAATGTTAGAACACCGCCATACTTTTCAAAGGCCAACAATCGTAGTGTTTCTTGACATCAGGGCTGCCTTCGATTCGTTGGATAGGACTGTTCTCTGGGATTGTCTATTGAAGAAGGGTGTGCCTGAGAAGTTTATTAACATCCTAAAAGCCCTGTATAAAAACACCTCAGGCAGAGTGAGGGCATACAACCACCTCTCTCCATTGTTCCATTCGAGCAGTGGGGTTAGGCAGGGTTGCCCAATCTCACCATTCCTCTTCAACTTTGCCATCGATGACATTCTGGAAACAGCTCTAATGGATGTAAGTAATGGCGGTGTGGATCTGTTGCCTGGAGAAAGACTTCTCGACCTTGAGTATGCGGATTATATTGTCTTACTGTGCAATAATGCCCAAGGCATGCAATGCGCACTTAATCAGTTGGCAACCAGTGTCCGTAGGTATGGTGTGTGCTTTGCACCTTCGAAGTGCAAAGTACTTCTACAAGACTGGCAGGATTCCAATCCTGTACTCACCCTGGATGGTGAGCAGATAGAAGTAGTCGAGAAGTTCGTGTATCTGGGTAGCTGCATAAGTGCTGGTGGGGGTGTGAGTGATGAGATCAATGCACGTATAGTGAAAGCCAGAGCGGCTTATGCCAATCTGGGCCACCTTTGGCGCCTTCGTGATGTTAGTCTGGCTGTAAAAGGTCGGATCTACAACGCGTCGGTGAGAGCAGTTTTGCTCTATGCTTGTGAAACCTGGTCTCTCCGAGTTGAGGACGTTAGACGACTATCTGTGTTCGATCATCGCTGTCTCCGAAGGATTGCTGACATTCAGTGGCAACACCATGTCAGTAATGCAGAGGTTCGGCATCGTGTGTTCGGGCACAGAGATGATAATTCAATTGGTGTCACCATCTTGAAACACCGACTTCGGTGGCTTGGACATGTTCTCCGAATGTCGTCCCAGAGAATTCCACGTCGTGCATTATTTGCCGACTCTGGGACTGGTTGGAAGAAGCGGAGAGGTGGTCAGTGCATGACATGGTGTCGTGGTATGAAAGAAAGCTGCAAAGGACTGGCTTGTGTTGGTCCTTCACGACTCCCTGGTTGGGGTCCGAGAGATGGTGCAACACAATGGCTAGAGACGTTATCAGATATGGCTCAGAATAGAAGCCAGTAGCGATCCTGTTGTAACCTTTTACTTTCTTCATAAAAGTGGTTGTGTCTTCCTTAACTAAAGGGTTTCTTCTGATTGTACCTTTCCGTCCCCTCATTACTACCACACTACCTTACACCAATCTCTTCGTTATTGTTCTCTTTTTTTTCTTTTCTCTTCGAATTCTCATTGTTTTGTGTGGCGCATATATATTTTGCGCTCTCTTGTACCAATATTTATGTGTTCAAATAAATAAATAAATAATAGAATGAATCATTTGCTTGAATACTCACTTGTCGAGTAAGTTATTGGTTCAATCCTTGTACAGTCGGTCAGCTTCAACGTAGGACCAGGCACATATGTGCATCGGTCCAAGTCCCCATATCTCACTGCTGATGCGGTATGGCAACCTGGACCGATGCACAAATATGCCTGGTCCTGCTTTGTAACTGACTGACCATATCTCACTAACACAATAAAATTAACAGCAGATTCAGAGAAATAGTTTATTCACGGGTGGTAATATATGAAAGAAAGATTGCATATAACGACATAGTACACAAAGAAAGAAAGCTATTTTAATCTCAGTTTAAGGGAACACAAAGAGTGTATACACCTATGCCATTGTGATCGATTCTAAGCCATGTTATTCAGCATTTCTAACCATTTGTTACGATAGTCACGCGGACCCCAACCAAGTAGTCTGCATCTACCAACACGGCTCAGACCAGAAGTTAGTGACTTCAAGCACTGATGACACGTTTTGGTTTGGCCGCCCCTTACTTTCTTCAAACCATCTCCAACACCGGTTAGGATTGCACGTCGTGGTAATCGGTGTTCAGGCATACACAACACGTGGCCCAACCATCTCAGTCGATGAAGATTCACAACCTCATTAACTGATTTACCATCATTCTCTAATACCCTGGGTCTAACCTCAATGTACCAACAACGATCGGGAAATCCTTGTCCCACCTACTTTGATTTAAGATTATGTGGTACTATTGAGTGAGTGTGATGTCATTGTCCATTTGCCTTGAAAATATGAGTCTGATTATAGTCCACGTTTTCTTATCACCTATGACTTCATTCTTCCCAATAATCAGTAACGAAATTATAGAGTCAGAAAGTTTATAATCAAAAATATGGTAGTAAGCAAGACATTTTTAATATACGTTTTTTCCTCATGTCGTTAAATAAGTTTACTTTTAATATCATTTTTAAATAGGAAAATTATCTTCAGTGTGTAATAAGTGAAGACTGGCCTATCTGGGGTCCGAATATCACTGATGCAAATGAAGATATATTGTCACATTTGTTATCATTAAATACAAAATCGCTGACCAAGCGCAAGGCCGTTCTGTTACGTCTTTTCGCTGTGAGTTTTGTTTACTTACCTTCATCTGTTTGTACTAATTTTAGTCTTGTATGTAAATATAAATTTTCATTGCAGACTGTGTCTTATGTTTTGCGTTTAAAATGTAGAAGATATTTCTGGGATGTCTTCTTAAAGATTTCGTGAGAATGTGGTTATACCAAGACAGTTGCTATTACAAATCATAAAGTTTATTGTGTTACTATAACGCATATGAGTGAATTAGCACTTATTGACATAGTTACAATTATAAAATGGTAAGAGATCATTCGCAATAACTGAACAAAACGTTGAAAGTACATCGATTTTCCGACTAACATCAGATACTGTAATTATGAGATATTAAAAAGATTTGTGTTTGCAGGATATCACAATGTCTTAAAAAAAGAAATAAAGAATTTGAAGATAATATCGTATAAATATATGGCAAAAAGTCTTGGGCAATCAAAATCTTTTGAAATTAAGGCACTAATAATGTGGAAAGAAATATTTATTGTTTATTGATCATCATCATATGGTACAAGAGCATAGAAATATAAAATTTCAGAGAACATAATGGTTAAAAGTGTATTTAAGAGTACTGTAAGGAAACGTTAAGTACACTGTTTGCTTAGACTGGGAAACTAATCACAATAACAGTTCCCATGTCACCACTTATCTTTATAAAATGGGGACGTCAATTTTCTCTCTCCATAATTATTGTTCCAGGTTAACTTCCTTTTTGTTTTACTTCATACAGCTGGCAGCAAAACTCGAATCTGACTGGGCTAGCCTCGCAATCGCTAATATGATGCCAGATGCAGCAACTGTTCAGCTTGCTATTAGATACGCTGGTCGGCTGAGGCGTCAAAACCTTGCACATCGTTTAGCAGGAGTTGCTTTAGAAAAAGAACGTCGTGTATCAGAAACTGTTGAAGTTGATGATTGGGATGATATACCACAGAGTTCAACATTTAGAGGGAAGTGTAATAGGTACATATATTCATCGATATGCTTTTATTTTTGGTTATTATTTTAGTGAGAAGTTTCAATTCATTTAACCACACAATACGTTTTCGAAACCGATTTATAAATTGAACTATCATCTTAAATTAGTCAATCTATGTAAATTCAGATTCGGGTAAAGTTGATGTTGTAGTGAACGAAAACTGATGTACGGTAAACCAGTTCATTATTTTATGCTAAGTCACACAGTACATTTGTAAAATATGAAAATCATACATTAAATACATCATTTGCATATCTTCCTTGAATTGTCGTGCACATACTCCATCATTCTTCCAATTATGTTGTTATTCCGAGTGCTCTTTGTTTCCCTTCTCTTTATTTCAATTTTCTGCTGGTAAGCATTCCACTTCCAATTACTGATACATACCACTTATGTCTGTTCGCATAAGTAGCACACACCACATCGTAATCTGTGAATCTACTTTGGCAAGTTTCGAGAATCAGGCTTCAACCAACTCTTCTTTTCATGAACGAATTACATCAAGTTATACAGTTTGTTTGTATTATTATCTTCTTTTCTTCTATAATTCAGTATCAGATTGTATTTCAGTTTGTGTGATTACCATGTGTCTAAGTGATAGGTGGTTAGTAATACGATTAGTTCACCTATATTTCACATAATGACTAAAGGTGTCCCTAGTTTTCATTGTTTAAGGATTTATAAATCTTACTAAAGGACTGAATTGTTGAGACTCCTAACAATTACAACACTGACAAGAGTATATATATTCCTCATCGCTTATTCTAAAAATATTGTAAAGGAAAAACCACATACGTTTGTCTTCGTTGTTAATAAAAGGATTCACCGTTGAAACGTCTATATTCATTCATTACTCTCCATGTATTATTCCTTTGGCCTAATTGTAGCAATGCTTGAATCCGTTGCAAAAGTTACTAGATAGGCTTAAAATACTTAGTTGTGTTCGTTCTATTTCGTGAAGATGATACTTCGGATTAAAAAATTAATATCTTTATATGCAGCGAGACTATGATTTATGGATAAACCGATGAAATTAAGGATGCTAAATCTTGTATTTTGTCATGAAATTAATTCATCTTATAGTTAAATAGCATTTTTGGCATTATAACCGATGCTAGCTCGTAATGAAAACTCTGACTTCAGTTTCTAATTTTAAATCCTAACTCGTAACCTTGATCCTAATCACCCACATTAATTTATAATCCTCTTTTGACCTAGGTAAGTAGGTGAGTTGTCTCAAGGTCACTTTGGCGTCGCTCACAGGTGGGCCATAAATTATAGTCCCACCGTGTTTTCCGGATGGTTCGGTTTGTCTAAAGTTGTAATATCCCAACCTTGGTAATCATCTGTTGCTTGTGTTATCCTAAGTGGAATTCGACCGTTTTTTGTTAGAAATTCGTCAGCAGCATTTTTAGTTGTGCTATATATGTGCTGCCAAAATATAATATTGAATAAAGCCATTAATAATAATATAATCAATTTCCTGGTACGTTAATTTGAATTCATTTTTGCTTAGTGCATACATACACTATGGAATTTAGTCTTATTTCTTAATTTTTTCTAGAGATCCTACTACGTTCTCAGGTTATTCTCCGTCGAACAACCATATTCATTCTCATTCAAAGACTTCAAGACCTACAAATGGTTCAGATTATCATGATGTGGCAGATAGTTCACTTGTTAGTTCAGGAACTGATGATGGCCATATTGATGGTTCGATTAATAATCTACCTCTAGCAGATTCCGAGTCTTTGTCTCATTCTGTGTTGACTCCCTCTTCACGAAATCCATTCAAAGTGAGTTAATAAAACCGTTACTATGCGTGTTTGCGTAGATAAAACAAAGTAACGTTGCCATTTTAATTGAATGAATTATTTTAAAGATGTTATGTGTGCAAATAGCTTAATGCTTGATGAACATAGTGTCTGTAGTTTCTCACTATTTACAAAACTGTCGAGTTTCTTGATTAGTAAATATTAGGTCGCTGGTCACAAAACTATCATGGTATGTAATAATCAGCCGTAATACCTGTCCGAATGAATAAGAAATTAGGAGTAAAACACAATCATTACATAAATTTAATTTCCAGCATATATCGGTATGCTAATAATAAGTATTGTAAACTGATCAGTCGGGTTATTTCCTGGGATTCGCAATCAAACATATTTATGACGTTGCTTTCAATTTTGAATGGAAACTGAGTTTCTTTGGATACATCTGTTTTGCCAAATATATTAAATTAGACTGTTTGAAACCAAAATCTACTGACTCTGTGTGGTAGTAAACTACCTTCCAAACCTATGTAACTGAAATTTCCAAGTAAAATCATTAAACTTTTCATTATTTATAAACAGCAATTTTATTTTGTGTTGTACGGGACATATTTACTTTATTTCTAGTCTCTTCGATGAATTTTTCTTATAAATTATCATTATTATTACAGTCTTCTCATGAACCGAAAGAATTTGCACCCCGTTCGATCGCTCATGGAACTGAACTCTTAGATGCTTGGACACCTAAGACGACTGCTACAAACACCAAAGTTTCTCAGAAGCCTGATGTCAACAAAACTCAGAACAACAAAAAGCGTTCACTCTCTGTGAGTTTATTTCACCTTGTATTACGAGTTAGTAAATAATTTATCCTAATCAATTTACCAAATATTGTATTAACTTGGTGTTTGCTCATGAATGTTGATATGGTAATAGTTCATTGTGTTGCCTGTTGAACTGCATGTTACATACGTATGGTTACGTAAGTTTATTGTTTATTGTGTTCCACCTTGTTTCGATAAATTTGACCAGCTTTTTTTGGTAATCACTTAATGATTCATACTGGAGTTAATAATAATCTGAATAACTTAACATCACATTGCAGTTTTCTGTCATTAAGTTTCCTCAAACAACTGGGCATTTTCCAAACCCTTTAGATTATTTATTTCAATGATAGCCTGCAGTCGAAAGATCTCTAAAAATTTAAAATCTGTTTTATCTGATGATTACATCTTGCCTCTGATTAATACATTGTTGTTATTTTCTTAAATGAATTTACGTCAACAATTAGTGGATGGAATTTATACATATAAGAGTACATACAAGCTAATATGTGTAATTATTCATCCCGACCGTAGCTGCTACATTGAAGTGGTGGTCGGATTTTTTGCTTATCTTGATGATCCAACCGAGCTATTTTGGCTGGGACATATGTTCCTGTAGGTTCTATCATGCCAAGCAGGTCGGTTGGAGAATGTTAAGACAAAAAGCACAGCAATTCAAGGTCTGAGAGCGAAGTCTACTACTGACTGCAGAGGGATGTGATAACAGTAAAGTGTTTCTTTCGGACAACCAGCACCGGCAGCGGTGCTGCCTTCTCAGAAGGAAGTGGTTAGAAAAGATCGACTATAAAATGCAACACTTCGCCTTACCTCACAACACACGAGACCAAGTTGGTCACAAATAGATCCTTCCTATACCTCCTAATAACTCTTATCTCTACTACTAACCCTTCTCACATCTTCTTATCACCTCGCACCGCTAGGGCAAACGATTCGAGTACGCGGAACGTTATTCCTGGTCTCCTGAAACCACACTCTTAACCACATATAGGAGCTTTCGACGTCCGAACACTGCGCCAAATAGGACAACAGGTTTCCTTAGCTAGGACTTTAGAATCTTGCGCCATCAATGTGTGCTGCATCTCCGAAGCGCGCATACAGGATCCGAGTAGCGTCATTCATTTGACCTCACTATGTCAACATAAAGAACCAACTCGATTCTCACTTCGTGTATCTGGAAGCCCAGATGCTGCTTCTCGTGGCCTCGCCGCTATAGGTGTAGGATTGAGTCCTAGGGCAGAACTAGCTCTCTTAGAGTGGATCCCAGTAGACAGTCGTTTGTGCGCTGTCCGACTAAACGGAACAGTAAGGACTCGGAAACATAGAGACACTCGTCGTTGCCTCTTCGTCGTCTCAGCCTATTCTCCCACTGACTGCAGCTCAGATGATGTAAAAGATGAATTTTACAGAAAGCTTTCGGACCTTCTCCGGAAAGCTAGGCGCTCTGATCTAGTAATAGTGGCTGGTGACTTTAATGCTCAAATGGATAAACTGAGCGAAAGGGAAAGACACATAGGTGAATCTTATGATGCCGTGGCTCATGGAACAGATAACGGCGACCGTCTGTTGCAGCTATGCTCAGACAACCACCTGTTTCTTGCAAATACTAACTTTAAGCATAAGGAAAACCATCTTTTAACATGGTGACCCCGACTTCTTTCCAACGCTGGACCCAACATGGCTAACAGCCACCGATGAAGGGGCTCGATAGAAGGCTGTCGCTCGTTTTGGAGCACATGCCTAGATACAGATCATGCTCTAGTACGAGCGCGTATTTTTCTGCGCACCACTGGACGGGGCAAGGAAACCTCCTAGGTTTCTACCTATCGATAGTCAAGCTAAGGATACATTTCAGGAACAACTAGAAAAAGTTAGGCAGCTATGGAATGATATCCGAAAAGCAATGAAAAAAGCAGTGATATCTGCTAGTAATTTAAGCCGTAAGGTTAGGGATAAATACTGGGTCTCAACAGCATCTGGCTCTGAACATGACGAAGAGCGGAGTCAGCTTAAGCGCAGGTTGATAGGAAGCCTACGTAATGATCGTGAACAGTAGTGGGTAGCGAAAGCAGGAGATATGGAAAAAGCAGCGGCATTAGGTAACAGCAGACAACTGTTCAGACTTGTTAAGGAAACCGGTATTAGGAATACAACTTTTAGCGAAACACTCAGAGAAAGATGGACATATTATTCACTCACAATCCAGAAGACCGGATCGATGGGCAGAACATTTTAGGGATCAGTTCAGCTGGCCTTCAGCCACACTTCGGTTTCCCACGATATCTATTCGACCTAAATGGCAAGTCATCCAACAACAGTAGGTCCTGACATGTTTACCCGTTACATTTTTGGGGATGGCAGTCCAGTATTAGCAGTGAGATTGACTGAGGTCTTAGGTAGAATTTGGGAACTGGACGTAATCCCATCTGACTGATCTCAATCACTGATTGTGCCAGTCTATAAGAAAGGACAAAAGTCCTCTTGTGACAATCACAGAGGAATCAGTTTGACAAACAGTGTCGAAAACATTAGCTTCAATAATACTTCGACGCCTAACTAAAGCTCCTGAAGAGCAGACTAGAGAAAACCAGGCCGGTTTTCGACCTGGACGTGGTTGTATAGATCAGATATTCACACTACGTCAGGTTCTAGAACACAGACACACGTTCAGACGCCCCACAATCGTAGTATTTCTCGACCTTAAAGCAGCATTCGACTCTGTCGATCGTAAGGTTCTATGGCAGTGTTTGTCACTGAAAGGAGTACTAAAGAAGTACATTAACCTTATAAAGGCTCTCTACTCGGACACAACTGGTCGAGTGGGAGCTTATGGCGAACTGTCATCAGAATTGATTACCTCAAGTGGTGTTCGTCAGGACTGTCTACTCTCTCCATTCTTGTTCAACTTTGTCGTCGATGTACTTTTAGAGATAACACTTTCCTCGTCTAGATTTCCAGGGGTTGAACTTCTACCGGGAGATTCACTTGTTGACTTAGAATATTCCGATGACATAGTTCTATTTGGTGAAGACGCTGACAAAATGCAGAGTCTTCTGACCACTCCAAGCAACAATGCAAGCATGTTCGGCATGCGATTCTGCCCTTCGAAATGCAAAATGTTGCTTCATGATTGAATTGTTGGAAACTTGTACTAGGTAATGATGGTAAATCAATTGATGAAGTAGTGAAACTTGATCAGTTGAGATGGCTGGGACACGTGTTACGTATGCCCATCCACCGACTTCTTCGAAGTGCGATGCTCAGTGGTATAGAAGTAGGCTGGAACAAAGCTGGGGACGGCCAGACCAAAACATGACACAAGTCCATAAAGTCAATGACAAGTGGAGTGAGCCATGTTGGTAGGCGTAGACTACCTGGTTGGGATCCGCGAGATGATAGTAAACCGATGGTTAGAGATATTGAATGATATGGCTCGAAACCGTTTGCAAAAACATAGGTGCATCCACTCCTTGTGTTCTCCCAAAATCTAATCTTCTGAATTCTTCATGTCTGTTATTTTCTTTCCAAATTTATTTCACTTGATTATACTCCTTGAATAACATCTTCAAAACCTAGTTTTCCCAATTACTGCTTATACTCTTACCACCTCTACCACTACGGGATTTGAATTGACAATTGTATCTGGGTGCTAATGTGGTATGGCAACTCGAACTGATGTACGTGCGTATGAAGTTCTACGTTGTTGCTGACTGACTGACTAATTATTCATAATTCATAACATAATTTGGAAATGATTTGTCAGTCATTAGGGGATAAATTGTCTGTAATGTGAATTTAAAACTTAGTTTTAAAAAGCGGGTATATTTTTATAACAACTTAAGGGCAGTCAGTCAGCCACATCGTAGGACCAGGCACATATATGCATCGGTCCAAGTTGCCACACCTCATTAGCACAACAAGATAAACACCAAATTCATAGAAGTAGTTACTTCAAAGGTAGTTATGTATAATGAAATATTGTATAAGGATATAGTACAGAAAGAGAAAAATTAGTTCGTAGAAATGTATAAAGCAATTTTAATCTCACGATTCCAGGAAAGACAAAGAGTGTATACACCTACGCCATTGTGATCGATTCTGAGCCATGTCACTCAGAGTCTCCAACCATTGGTTACGATAGTCGTGCAGATCTCAACCAAGTAACCATATATAGGTCGGTGAAAACGTCCTACAGTAAGACCAAAATATTCACAAATAAGCCTCGAGGAGGAGTACACTGCACTAAACGATTGTCTGCGAAGGAATGGATCCCCTCAATAGGTTATGAATAAATGTAGATGGGAGAATAAAAGCCCAAAAAGAAGAAATTAATCAAAGAATAAAGTCAACTTTAAAAATCAGATTCCCTTTTGCGAGGTTGATTCCAACAACAATACAAACAAAAGTAAATAAATACCTGTCACATGTTACCTCCCATTTGTAAATCAATAATTATAAATCCATATGTTGGAGGATAGGATTCTGTTAGAAGCGTAAAGTGATACATTATGTGTTATATCTATCTGTTGTCTCGTGTTATTTAGATGAAAGATTGTAGTTCATCTATTCCTTATACCTAAAGATCATATATATCTTAGTTCTCTGAATCATTTTCAACTGAACATCATTAAAAAATGTTCTAGCAAATTAATCGCATTGAATTTTCTTACATCGCTTTTAATCTTTAATTGCATCGTTTGTTGATTGAAAATGTATTAGAATAATCTTTTTCATTGTTTGTAGTCATCACAACGATCTAAATTACCGAAAATGAAATCTGTTGCTATAGCAGAGTAAGTTTGTATTTTTTTCACATTCATATGACTTCCAATGGTTATTTTAGATTTTAATTTTAAACCGTTTCTCATTATATAATTCAAATATTTTGGTAGCGCTGATCAAGAATTCACTGATTGGTTTGAAGAAAATCGAGATACTTTGGAGGAAAGTTATCCAGAAGTTTCAGTTGAGGAGCTTGTTCGCATAGGACAGTCTGAATACGTAAGTGAACGATTAACCTTCACTAACTGTACTTGTTTTTCATAACTATCGTAAAGCATGATTTTATTTATGTGTGCCAATGTGATCTTAAAATATGTTCCTTATGTACTAATGAAAGATATTCACACAAACACTAACCACCATTGTTCAATTTAATATGCCTTCATTCAGTATTCTTTTTTGAATATCGTCCGTGTAACTCACGAAATTTCCAAACGACAGAAATCTAGGCATTATTATCCGTTCATCTTAATTGTGCTTTTTTTCTAAAAGTTACTTAGGAGTGCTTGTAAAATAAACTTTCTATTCTTTGACACAAGTCAACCATTTTATAAAAATGCATCTTTGACTATACTTTACTTACTTACGCCTGTTACTCCTAATGGAGCATAGACCACCGACCAGCATTCTCCAACCCACCCTGTCCTGTGCCTTCTTTTCTAGTTCTAACCAATTGTTTTTCATTTTTCTCATGTCTGTCCATTTCTCTACGCAATGTGTTCTTTGGTCTTGCTCTTTTCCTTTGGCCTTGAGGATTCCATGTGAAGATTTGCCTTGTTACGCAGTTCGGTGTTTTCTTCAATGTGTGTCCTATCCACTTCCAGCACTTCTTCCTGATTTCTTCCTCCGCTGAGATCTGGTTTGTTCTCTCTCACAGAAGGTTGTTGCTGATTGTTACTGGCCAACGGATCCCAAGTATTTTTGCGTAAACAGCTGTTAATAAACACTTGCATCTTCTGGGTGATGGCTTTCGCAATTCTCCAAGTTTCCGCGTCATACAGTAGAACTATCTTGACGTTTGTATTGAACATTCTGACTTTTGTGTTGTTTGACAGTTGCTTCGAGTTCCAGATGTTCTTTCGTCGTAAATCTACTGATCTTGCTTTGCCGATCCGCGCCTCCACATCTGCATCAGACCCACCGTGTTCATCAATGTTGCTGCCCAGATATGTAAACGTTTTTACATCCTCCAAATCTTCTCCGTTAGGTGTGATTCGATTGGTGCGTGTTGTGTTGTATCGGAGAATCTTGCTTTCCCCTTGTGTATAATGAGACCAATTGCTGCTGAGACCGCTGCTACACTAGTGGTCTTCTCCTGCAATTGTTGTTGCGTGTGTGATAGAAGAACCAGATTATCTGCGAAGTCTAGATCTTCCAGCTTCATCCTAGCTGTCCATTGTATCCCATACTTCCCCCCAGATGTTGACTTCTTCATGATCCAGTCGATCACCAGGAGAAACAGAAAGGGTGAGAGTAAGCAACCTTGCCTGACACCGATCTTTACCTCGAACGAGTCTGTCAACTGTCCTCCATGCACGATTTTGCAGTTTAATCCATCATATGAGTTCTGTATGATATTGACTATCTTCTGAGGCACGCCGTAGTGTCGAAGAAGCCTCCATAGTGTTGTCCTGTCCACGCTGTCAAATGCTTTCTTGTAGTCAATGAAGTTGATGTAGAGTGATGAATTCCATTCAGTTGATTGTTCCACAATGATCCGTAGAGTTGCGATTTGGTCTGTACACGATCAATCCTTACGGAATCCTGCCTGTTGGTTTCGACGTTGGGCGTCTACGCAGTCCTTCATTCTGTTTAACAACACTTTGTTGAAGACTTTTCCTGGTATTGAGAGAAAAGTGATGCCCCTGTAGTTATTACTGTTTCTGAGATCGCCTTTCTTTGGTATCTTGATTAAGTGTCCTACTTTCCAGTTTGTTGATACTTGTTCCTCATCCCAAATCTTGCTGAAGAGAGTGTGGAGCATCCTTGCAGTTACTGATACGTCTGCTTTCAGTGCATCTGCTGGAATGTTGTCTGGTCCTGCTGCTTTGTCGCTCTTGATTTGTCTGATGGCTATGCTGATCTCTTCAATTGTTGGTGGGCCAACATTGATTGGGAGGTCCGTGAGTGCTACTTTGATGTTGGGTGGGTTCAGTGGAGCTGATCGATTCAAGAGTTCTTTGAAGTGTTCTACCTATCTGTTTCGCTGTTCTTGGATGTTGGCGATTACTTTGCCCTCCTTGCTTTTCCTTGGTCCTTCTGGTTTACGATAATTTCCAGCGAGTTTCTTTGTTGTATCATACAATTGTCTCATGTGTCCTTCTCTTCAGCCTTTTCAACCGTCATTGCTAGATCTTCCACATAATTTACGTTTGTAGATTCTGATGCTCCTCTTCACTTGCTTGTTTAATTCTGTGTATTCAGCTTGTGCCTTGGCTTTCTCTGCTTTTGCTCAGCTGGTATTGATTGCTGCCTTGTTGAATCTTATCCAGTGTATCAACGGTGATCCATTCCTTATGGTAGTGCTTCTTGTGGCCCAAAACCTCGTGACATGTTGAAGTGATTGCCTCGTATCCCTCTCAAGTTGATCTCCATTGCGTTGGTCATGAAAGGCCTGGAATCTACTACTGAGGACTGCCTTGAATTTGTTGAGTTTGTCAGTAACCCGAAGAAAGGTCGTATTAAACTTTTGTGCTGTTTTCTGCTCGATTGTCCGGTGCTTCTTGAGGCTCAGTTTCATCTTGGCGACCAGCAAGTGATGATCTGATGCTACTCCTCTCGGAGCCCCTCTGGGCTACTGCCGATCCGAAGCCCGGGTAAAGGTAGAGGTTTGGGCATGGGGTTAGCGACCCCATCCAGTAGAAAACTAATTTGAAAAAACGCTAACCAGGGGCCCTGATGGCTGGAGGAATGATAATAACAATGCCGCACAGTTATCATCTTCAAATATCGGGTGATACTCGCATGGTTATTATTGATTTAAACACAGTGGGTGCCAAAATAAATAAAAAAATTAGATTGTTATGAGGTGAAGAAATGAAGTGGAGTTTGATAATAAAAAAACGGATGAATAAAAATAGGTGAATGATTAGTGGATGCACAGGATTCTGCCATAGCTGTGGACATTGATTGCCAACTGATTTAACACGGATTGCTTGGCTTAATTATCGTTACACAATAAAACAATATCATCTGCATACTCAAGATCACCCCATATGTAGGATTGCCGTTCGCTAAATACGAGTCGTCAGTAGATAGGCATAATGCAGAATGTCACTTTGTTGTTCATTGTGACACTGTTTAAATAAGGTAGAAACATGAGATTCAGAAAGTGCATGAAACGTGAGTAAATAGATGATATGTAAATAAATGAAGTATTTAGAGAAATATATGGACTACCTTCTAAGAAAACAGTGTTTTCTTCTTCTGAAATTCCAGTACATAACTTGCAACCTTCCGATTTCAACTTCATAATTTTGCGATATTAGTTCGCTTAGTTTTCTATTATGTTACTGAACTAACCAGTCAGTAAGATCTAATTAACACATTTGATCAGATCACCCTACTATTTTTTTGGTAGTTGGATCGGTCTAGTGCTGTTATCAGATATCATTATTAAAAGTTAATGTGATCGTTGGATTCCTTAAAGTTACCAAGACATGGCAAATCGATATCACGAATACATGGGTGTAAAGTGGGTTGTCTAAAGTAGTAGTTGTAAAGTATTGTGTTGCCATACATATCGATGGTGCACATCATCGACTTAACTTCAGTAAGAATATTTCAACAAAGTGTTAATGTAATAAATAGATCAGTGGCTTAGTGTTTAGGTCTTTCAACCACTATCTCGGAGGTTCGAGTTCTGCTCTACCTACGTCACAAACCCTTAAATTTTCATTGTGGCACGAATATTTCCATGGCGACAGGTATATTTTTTCTGTCATGATTAAATAGTACATAAATATCTGTGATTCCTATTGATATATCTAACGTTTGTTTATTTTTATTCCTTACATATTAGCGTTCTATAAAAAGTTCAAAAGACGGTGTTTTTGATGGAAAAGAAAAGGAAAACGTACTACAAAGTAATACCAAACGTCCATTAAGTGAAAATGATGATTTAATTCAGTGTAATTCCAATACTACAAAGAGAAGACTATCTGAATTTGAGAATAATGTATCTAAGAGAATGTCGTCATTCGCATTCTCTCAGAATTCTTCAAAATAATAAAGATAACATATCTAGTTTCAATTAAATAATGTGGCGTCACATTTGTATATTATGTTTAGATCGGTTTATTGTATTAATTGTTATAGAGCGATCTCTTCCTTTAAAAAGTGTAGTTTGTAATATCAACCCGTTGCATATCTCTAAATTTATTTCCTTTCGTAAAGTATTTGCATACATTTTTTTTACTAGAAAATGTAATGCTTACCCTGGCTTGAATTTGTATCGTATAAACTGCTATAAAATACTGTTATGACTTTTCCTATCAACTGATCCTCAATTTCTATGCACAGTGTATACGTAGGTTTAGCACTCTGAGTAAATCAATTAACGAAAGCTCTACAAGAAGTGTTACAAACACAATATATAGTTTTTGGCTATTTCACTCTATTTTTCCACTATGAAACCTCGTCTTCAATAACATATGATTTGACTTCTTGTGATCGTTTCTGAATATACGAAATGCCTAATTATTCAAAAAGTGAGAAATCGAAGCTTTAGGAGCTGTTCTATGGAGTTGTGACATTTGAACTCGTTTTTAACGAGTATTGATTTCAAAAGGTAACCTTGCGTTGTTGGAAATATTGTTTATTCCTATTTATATAGATAGATTTTTTCCGATGTGTTAAAAGTATAGTCGTGACTGTCATTGGATTCGCAATAAAACGTGGCTATCAGAATAATGTAGTTAGACAAAGACAATCCACTGAGAGACATCACAGTTTAATTTTTAAGTACTAATGACAAATACAAAGCACTAGTTTTTGGCAGGCCATACCCATCACTATTGGACCTGCAGAATTTACAGACTTAGGTTCATACAGGAATACTATTTCTAGTTTCTGTACCCGTCCTTTAAGTCTATATTTGTAGGTTGGTTTGTTCTCAGAAAAGTGAATTAGCTTAATTACATCAACTTCACAAGTTAGTAAAGACTTCCTCCATAGACTACTTTATAACTACAAATATGTTTCTTCAAAATCTGGACGTACTACATTTTGAATGAAGAACAACGATCCTAGGAGAATAATATCGATTCATTTATTTCGCGGGTCTTCCTCAACTGCTTACGACTTAAAAATAGTGGAAATCATCAAGAAACAAAACAAGTATTCGTACGTTATCAGAGAAGTCTGGAATAAAATTGAGATATAAAATAATGGACGACAATAATTGTAAAAGGATTGAGAGAACGTTCGAATATTTGTTTGCTTACAGGTTAAATATATAAATACTCGGGAAGAGGAAACTGGAAGGAGCAAGAAAAGATGATTTTTCGGAAGTGCTGATCATCTTGCAGGACTTTTAAAACATTGAATTTATGTCCAATGTCGAACAATAGCACTGCTGAACATTTTTATCTTCACAGTCATTCATCTCAAAGAAAATCCCACAAAACATATGGGAAAGTGTGGACTGTTGGATTCCAGCTAAATAACGGATGTTCTTGGTGAGGTCGCCAGTGTTCACTACTGATGAGTCCTAAATTGCTTAAAACAGTTATGATGGTTCAGTGTGTACTGATCTTCAATGGCTTTCCAAAGAGGATCAATTCTCAATTGAAATTACATTCGGCATACTGATTGTATGAAGCACCCAATACTCCTACCTTTTTAGCATTTCCGAAACTAATAATTTAACCCACCAAATTCAACTTTACGTACTTGGCTTTGAGGCACATTTTTCTGGAGCAACTTGTTTGTCAGGAATATTTAAGATTTAGAAATACCGCGAAAAAATAGTCGATCATTTTAACCGATTAAAGAAAGCTTTTACAATGGCATCAATTAGTTATAGAAATGTTTATCAGCGACTACAATTTTCTATATATATAGCGATTAATTAGATTCAGTTATTACATGATGCAACTTATTGTGTATCAGTCGATTTGTCTGCATCATAGACTGGGTTTAAGAATTTAATTTGTTTCTGAAGAATAAGAGTTATGTAGAGAATAGTTGAAGCTTTAAAAATAGACATTCAATTATCACTGTATATTTTTCAAATTACGAATTCTCTTTAGGAGCTATGAAGAAGAGGGATTACAAATGTCATTTGTATATTTTTAGTGATGTTTAATTCGGCTGGATATTGTTTCCACTACCATCTCCGATTTTCATAGGATTAATATTCAACGTTGTAGTTAACCTGTCATGAATTGAATCACCCAGTGCAACTGATATCCATGTTATTAATATAAATGCAGTACGACAAGCATCAAGTATTTGCCATATTTTAAGAAAATTATTTAAATCAATTTGTGTACTCAATAGGTATCTTATTTCATCTTCAGATTTATAACTATTCACATGAAATATATAATCAAACCAACCCATCGAATTGTGTATTACGAAAGCGATCATATAAAATATGATAGCCATTAGTCCATTCTAATAAAAAAGAAGAGAAAATGATAAATTTTGAGAAAAAGGTTGGATCTACAAATGAGTTTCTTCTGCTTCTTATTTTGAAGTGATTAACTATTATCAACCTACAAATTAATCAAGTATCATACAATGCTTACAATTCGTATTGGATAATGGCTATTAAATTTTGACTAATACACAATAAAATAATGATAATTGTCATTTGAGTTGGTTAGCACCTAATTATTAACTTCGTTTAGTTATCAATAATCAAAGCTAAATTGTGAACCGAACTGCGTAATAATTTTTAATTTAATTGTGTGCAGGATCAGTACCACACATTTTTGTAAGATTTATTTATATAATCTGACTACATAAACCAAGGTAAACGGGGTGAAGTTCGTGCCCAAAATCCTATGACTCAAAATTTAAATGTTTTGTTACTCAGTGACTACCGAATTTCATGTACGTGACGAGAATATGAAGTTTTTTTAACGATGCTCATTAATCGATAAATACAGTACTGTTTTCTGTAATAAATCTTGCAGTTAATTGATTAACGTTATACAACGACAGATTTAACAGAGGTTTCGGGGGACGGTAAGTGAATTAGTTAACAACTAAAGGCGATCATGAAACTAGAATTATTACCTAAGCAGAAGGATTTTCAAAAATATCATTAGTAATAGTTGCTGAACATGACGAAGATAACACCGAAGAAAGTATAGTAATACAAATACCGATTTAGGCGACCAAGAGATTGTGAAACGCTAAATCCCCCTGCCTTATGCTTTTGTAAAATAAGTTTAATAGGTTATAGCATTAACTAAAATAGAGTATGTATCATTTTATAAACTACAAAAGATAATGATCTAATTATTTTATTACCAGTGTCTTTAGGAAAAGTTCTTTCCTTATATCTTTTGGCTGGTGTCATGCATCGATCAATGTTAGACCACCGTCGAAAAACTAGAAGCACTGAACGGCCGTCTCGTCCTAGTGTGAGGCTACTTAGCAGTGCGCATTCACGGTCCCGCACGTGGGATTCGAACTCAGAGACTTCGGTTGTGCGCGCGGACGCTTAACCTCAAGACCTTTGAGCTGCAGGGTCGTGGATGCGCACTGTTTAGGCCGTCCATTGCTTCCAGGTTCTCGATGGGTTTAACAGTGGTCGACTCATGATCTCAATCAAAACTCAATCCTACCTTTCATCTTGGCTGAACAAATGTAACACAGTGAGTCTCAGTTATGTTGATGTAATGTATTGTTGGTACTGGACGATTTCAGTACTACTAATAATTTTCACTGAGAAATAGTGGTGTGTGCCATGTTGACCAGTTAAAAAAATTCACTACAGTCGGTAATTGAATCGTCAATTATAATGTTTTCTAAAACAGGTCTCACATAAATCTTTACTGATACTTAGTGGATGGTAATTAATCAATTTAAAGCACGATTTTTTTCTGGTCAGCAGTTTTCATGACTGTTAATTTAATTGGATTAATTGGCTGGATTGTATAGTCAGTACATTGAAAAATTGTCAATCTCATTTTCTTCAGGCGAACTAACTGACAAGACAAACTATAGTAAGTAAAATAAAACCCCTAATCCTATAATCAGAATAATATAAGGACTAGTAACTGAATGACTATCGGTACGAATAGAACCATATTTTGTAAACAAATATGTTCAATAACAACATTATATATATATATATATATATATATATATATATATATATATATATATATATATATATATATCAGTAACCACCTGAAGTTTAACACATTTCCGAATACAATTTGTTGTTGGCCTTCCTAAATCGAATTTTCCGAATACAAAAACACCTATCAAAACTAATGATATATAAAATGTAATAGAGATTGGACGTGCATAAACTCCATAATATTTTAATAATGGTAAATAACCATCTCCGTAATTGTAATTCCAAGAACCATCATTTTTAATTTGTCTTGGACTAATTAATGATTGTACGAATAGTGTATGCGCTAAACTTGCACCAGCCAATAAGCCAAATAACGTAAATGTCAAAATTTGTAGTGTTTCATGTATGCTGATAACAAAATGTAATCCTGGATTGTTATGCGTATACATCAGTTCTTGTTTGTCATTTAGTCTTCTTTTAATTGTAGATTCTTCATTTCGTTTCATAGGTATATTTTTCTCATAATCTTTAAGTGGATGAGAACGAAAGCCACTTCGATTTTCAACATAAACGTTTGCAGTAAACTGTCTGTCAGGGAAATTAGTTGAAAAATCACCTATAAATGAATGATAACAAAAAGAAAATGTATTTATTGTGCGATTTTTACACTATGATAAGAATAATATGATCATTTAATTTTAAAAGTAGTGTTCTGAACCGACCATAAATCAATTTAATGTACTTCTGAAATAATTTTTTTCGTGTGAGGAAGTTGCATAATCACATGCACATAATCAAATTAAAGCCATATGCTTCATATAACAGTTAATACTACAACTACTACTATTTGTCTGAGCGAAGATTAAAAGTCACTGTATGCTGATAAAGATTTGTTCCCTGAACTTGGCTGTTTGGTCATCGAGCTTTCATCGTTCTGAACGCCATCATCAGCACAAACTTCAAGTAGTAGTGATGCGTCCGAGTTTCTCCACATATGACTCCCACCTCGTCCTGTAGACCACGATCTTGATTGGTTATTGTTGACCTTTAACCTGTCATTGTTTACTTCTTTATTTTGACTGTATCTCCCATTGATTTGACTTTTGGTCCTATATCTGTCTATAATTGTTCTGGTTGGTTGATAAATTGGATCGATTTCATTGTGTTACTAAAACTCATCGATTTATGCTTAATAACATACTTTCAATTCAACAACAAAATCTACGAATCAATGAAAGGAAAACCGATGAGATCACCAATATCAGAACTTATTGCAGAAGCAATAATGCAGAGACTGGAAGCCTCG